GAATGGCAAGCAGCCCGACGATAGCGATGAAGACGAATTCGACATAGCACATGTGCCCGTGTACCTGAAGGAGCGGAGGAAGAAGTTCGACGACAGGCGCGAGAAGTTACGAGACGCCGGGCTTCTTCTGCCTCCAGAATACCACGACTTCAAATTCTCCGAGGACGAACGAGGACTGCCCCTGGAGCGGCGACCGAAGTTTGACGAGAGCTCCAAGATCAAGCCATGCCGACCATACAAAGACATCGAGCTGGAGTACTCGGCGGGCGTCATACCAGCGTCCATCGCGCAATACCTCCGCGACTACCAGATTGTGGGCGTCAAGTTCCTGCACCGTCTGTTTGTGTACCAAAGAGGTGGCATCCTTGGAGATGACATGGGCCTTGGCAAGACAGTGCAGGTTGCCAGTTTCCTCACGGCAGCGTTTGGAAAGACGGCCGACGAGCGCGATTGGAAACGACTGCGCAAGATGCGCGATGAAGTGGGGCGGTGGTATCCCAGAGTGCTGATCATCTGCCCGGGCTCCATCATCGAGAACTGGAAGATCGAGCTGAACCGTTGGGGCTGGTGGAAGGTTGGCGTCTTTCATGGCCCTGAAAAGGACGATGTCTTGGCTTCAGCCCGGTCTGGTCGGATCGAGATAATGATCACCACGTACACAACATACAAAAATCATGAGAGCTATGTCAACACGGTCAAGTGGGATGCCGTGGTAGCTGACGAGTGCCATCAAATCAAAGAAAGGAGCTCAGAGATCACCAAGGCCATGAACGATGTCAACGCCCTTTGCCGTATTGGGTTGACGGGCACAGCAATTCAAAACAAGTACGAGGAACTGTGGACACTTCTGAACTGGACGAATCCCGGTCACTTTGGTACTTTAGCAGAGTGGAACAACACCATCACCAAACCTTTGAAGACAGGCCAGTCCCACGACGCGACCCTCATCCAGCTGAAGAATGCCCGTCTTACCGCGCGGAAGCTGGTCAATAATCTGTTGCCAGGATTCTTCCTCCGAAGGATGAAGACACTCATCGCCCACCAACTTCCCAAGAAGACGGACCGAGTTGTTTTTTGCCCGCTCACTGAATCCCAGCAGGAAGCATACAAGAACTTTCTCAGTAGGCCTGATGTTGAGCTCCTTCGTACGCTTTCAAACCCGTGCGCGTGCGGATCAGGCAAGGGCCAGGGTTGGTGTTGCCGGAAGACGACCGATGATGGGACGCCGTGGCAGTCCATCATTTTTCCGTGTGTCGTCACTTCTCAGAAGCTGGTGAACCATCTCACTCTGCTGGTACCTCAAGGCACAGAAACCGACGATAAGCACAAGCGCGAAATGCGCACTCTACGAGACTGCTGCCCAGCCACCTGGAAATCTCTGTACGAAAATCGAGACGCGATCATGTACCTGGCGAACCCTGAGTTCTGTGGCAAGTGGAAGGTCCTCAAGAAACTTCTGAGGTTCTGGCATGAGGCCGGCGACAAAGTCCTCGTGTTCTCTCACAGCGTGCGCCTGCTGAGAATCCTCCAACACCTCTTCCACAACACCAGCTACAGCGTCACTTACCTTGACGGCGGCATTAGCTATGAAGACCGACAGAAGGCTGTGGACAACTTCAACTCCGACCCGACTCAGTTCGTCTTCCTCATCTCGACCAAAGCTGGCGGTGTTGGCCTCAATATCACCTCGGCAAACAAGGTTGTTATCGTCGACCCGCACTGGAACCCATCCTACGACCTGCAGGCCCAAGACAGAGCCTACCGTATTGGCCAAGTGCGTGATGTTGACGTCTTCCGTCTGGTCTCCTCTGGCACCATCGAGGAGATCGTCTACGCCAGACAAATCTACAAACAGCAGCAGGCAAACATCGGCTACACGGCCTCCTCCGAGCGCCGCTACTTCAAGGGCGTGCAGCAAGATACCGACCGCAAGGGCGAAATCTTTGGTCTTGAGAATCTTTTCACCTACCGCGAAAACCAGCTCGTCATCCGTGACATCGTCAACAAGACCAACATCGCAGAAGCCAGAGTCGGAAACGACATCGCAATGACCACCGTCGACATGGAGAACCTCGTCAAGGAGGAAGACCTCGGCGGTGCCGTCAAACAGGAACCCGCAGACGCAGAAGACGCCGGCATGTCCCAACTCGCCGCCGTGCTCGCCGCCAAAAACCAGAAAGACTACCTCGGCACCGTCAAATCCCAGCAGCCCAAGTCCGACGCCGTGCAAGCCATCCTGTCCGCCGCCGGCGTCGAGTACACCCACGAGAACTCGGAGGTTATCGGCACCTCCAAGGTCGAGGAGCAGCTCTCGCGCAAGGCCGAGATGGCCGCGAGCTCCGACGTGGACCCGGAGGGCGACGGCGCCCTTTTCGCCGACAGCCAGGTGTTTGACGCGCACGCGCAGAAGCTCAAGGGGTTCTCGTACGTGTACAACCCGCCCGAGGACGTAATGCGGCGGCAGTTCTGCTCGATGGCCAAGGAGTTTGGGTTCGGCAGCGCGACGGAGTTTGCGCTTGTCGTGGGCAGCTGGACGCAGACGCAGAGGCGGAACTGCCTGGAGGCGTTTTACCGCATCCGCGAGGGGAAGCTGTTGGCCGAGGAGACTGTCAAGGCGGAGGAGGAGGTTAAGGCCGAGGTGAAGTCTGAGACAGACAGATATGACGCCGATTTGGATGCCGAGACCGATTATGAGAGTGACCACGCGGAGGAGGCGGTGAAGAAGGAAGAGGTCAAGACCGAGCCCGTCAAGGGCGAGGTCGGCATTGTTCCTTCGAAAACACCCATTTGGATATATGACTCGGATGATGACGAACTTTAGGCGTTTTGGGACGGATAAGATACCCCCTTGTTTAGGTGAATAGACGGTACAACGTTGAGATCTTGATTACTATCCCTTCATTGCAGCCCACGTCTTCTTTCTGGTGATCCTGGCCAATATCTATTGTCAGGACATCCAAGTCAGCGAACGGCTCTTGATCATTACTTGAGGCCGATTTCCGGCCGAATTCGGGACTTTTCTGCTTGTTAATCTGTAAGCCGGCACGGACAACCTCGGCCAACAGTGGACTGTCCGAAGTCCGGGGCATCGACGGGCGCGGGCGAGCAGGGCGGAGTCTCCGACGGAAGGACCCATAGCAATGAATTTACTGAGGGACAAAGTATGGATGGCACCGCGTCTCTACAGTACCAGTCATGCGTACGCTCAAGAAGCGAATATGGGATATCCCGAGTAAGGGATATCACAACACGAACCCACGCGGGGAACTCTGAGTTGCTCAGGCTAATGCCGAGGGATAAGATACCTAATACGGAGAAGTAATACCCGTGCATCGTACCTTCAGCCCTACACTTTCCCCGGTCCCTGTGTATACAGTAGAGATTCACCGCCGGTTCGCTTGCGCCGGCGGAGATTTGCGTACGCCGGTATCCCCCCTGGTCCACTTGACCAAGCCCTGGCCAAAGCCCATGCCGTCTGAGGTTCTGTATATCCCAACCACACGGTTCTCGCTTACATGGTTTGGAGTATTCGTACAGCTGTTCATGACTTGTGTGTTAAAGCCCGTCGCCTAATGAGACCGTGATAGGATGAACTGAGTTGACAGGGGTGCATGCTACTGATTGCAACATCGACGAGTCGATTGCAACATCACCACTTACATTTTGCTCGAAAGTCTGGCACGTTCAACAGGCGTACGTAGACTTGTGAGCTATCCCACATCTTTGAATCCGAGCAAGTATCATGGGCCGGGCCGGCAAGACATACCGTTGCCTACATGTCTCCGCGAGTCAATCTCGAATTGGGGATGATACCCTTGAGATAAGGGACGAGGAGAGGTCTGTACGCATGTCCCTAACTCTCCAAGGGCGCGCGGAGAGCAACCCCCCGGGGGAACTACGGGATGAGATCATGCGGTCTGGCATTGCGGGCCCAGTCCGAAGAGGTACAGGGCTGGCCTTGGGCCGCCCCACGGGGCCGGATGGCCCGGCCTTTCGCTTTCGGGTTTGGGAGGAGCGGTGGCGGAATCGGCGACGGAAGCCGCTCCGGATACTGGCTCACTTCACAACGTTCGAAAACAATAACCAAAGTAGTAAAAATGAGGATTGAATTTGAGCCAAGAGTAAACAGGTTCAGTCGATTCAGCTTGCGAGAGTACAATGCTTGCTGTGGCCATGAGCCTCAGGGCGCCATATGCGGTGGCTGGCGATCAGGAACCACTAAGAAGAGTGTGAGCCAAGCCTAGATTATACCGCTGTACTGCCACAACAGGGCCGACAAGTCTCCGTACAATAGGGCTATCGTGTAGAAGACCCCTATGGAGTTCGAATACTAATCAACATAGCTTGGGGGGATTTAATATATTTTGAGTTCGTCCCCTGACTCAGTGGTTAGTCCAGCGGAGTACCATCGGACTTTAAGCATCTCTCCGGGACTTGAGTTCCACAGGTTACAGGTTTAGAGGCAATGTCTTCATTACTTAAAGATGGCGAGATTCGTCGTAGTTGATACCTATTTTGCCTTAATCAGTCACAACTCACTTCAACTCACCGCTTCACAAACCCATCAAGACTCTCACGTCTATCCACACACAAGTCACCATGCGTTTCGCCAACCTCTTCGTCGCGGCTGCTGCCATGCTCCTCCCCGCCGTTGCCATCGTGAGTCGACCTTCATACTACGAGCTCAAACAATACTGACATTTGTCCCCCAGGCTGGCTACTGCGACGGTACGGACTGCGTCGACAGCATCAGCAGATGGTCGTGCCCGAAGCAGTGCCCTAGCGACAGCACTTGCGTCATCAACGCCCCTTGCTAAGTTCGCCAAGCATGACTGCAGTGCTCGGCTCTGGGAAAGGGAAGTGAAGGGGGAACCTTGGTCTTAGCCGTGGGAGACGGGGGAGGAAAGGAATATAAGCTGGGATGATGGTATTCAAGAATATGTTTTGAGATTTGGTCGGTTTACTCTATGTACTCACTCATAGCCCAATCTACATACCACTTACCTCGTATATGGCGGTCCATGCCCATGCAACCGTTGATCCCAGTCTCGAGCATCTGCGTATATGTTGTCGACCCCCTCGAGACCTGCAAGGTCGTTATAAAGGGGGTCTTGCTGCAGAAATCCCGGGCCATCAAACCCAAGATCCTGAAGCTGTAAGCTGCTCGTCGGAACGGATAGAACTGGGTCAACCATGTGTGCGGTCTGTCCATATCCTTGCAGACGTTCATCTGCAGGACTCTCACGGTGCAAGACTTCATGCATTACCGCTCTTACTGGTAGAGAGACATGACTTCCACCGTCCGAGTCTGTGGGATTGGAAGGCTCCGTTCTTGGCGGAGTCGGCAAACTCGGAATGGCTCGCAGCCCCCTTGCCGCAGCCCAGTCATCATATATCCTTTCCAACGCCGAAGAAAGCACGACCTGTTCGTTTTCGACGCGCCTGTCGGATGGGCTGCCGTGAAGAAAGTCCGATATGATGTAGGCGCCTTGGCTCGTGAAGTACTCACGGAAGCTGCGAAGATCTTCGGAGAGATCGTTGTCGATGTATGCTGATGTCGGATGAGGGTGGCCAGGGAAACAAATATCCCATATGGCAAACCACTTTTCCGCCTCGGTCTTTCTTGGATCTGCACGACGGTGAATCTCCTGAATTTGAGCGCGGGTCAGCCCCTGCCTTTGTACGCCTCCCGGGATGATCTGGCACTGCCGGGCGCGGACATGTTGGTCGTGCGCGTCTTCGGTCTCGAATACGGCACCGCAGCAGGCTGACGTTATGGGCGCCTCATGGACTTGATAGAGGTGCTGCTTGACATATTTGATTTTGCTGAGAACCTTCTTGTGGCATTGGCGATGATTCTCGCGATCTTTCTTCCAAAAAGGACAGGCAAGCTGTCTCCCCGAAGCAGAGGATGAATTTGGGAACTTGGCGCGTTTATAGCCTGGCCCAGCATCATCATCCTCACCTGAACGTGTTCGATCTTGCTTGCCAGTGTGGGGACGCTTTCTTGCGTGGTTAGAAGAGTCGGGGGTTGAAACATCCGCTCGCTTGGTGCCCTTCTCGCCAGCTGAACTACCCCTTTGCTGAACTTGCCACGCACGGTAATGCCGAGTGACGGCAGTGATCGCGTCATCTAAACGGTGCTGAAAGGGGTCGTCCGGGTGGATGTGGTGCTCCTCGATGGGGGACTCCGGAATAGAGAAGACGCTGGACTCGATAGAGGAGTTTCCGTCGCTATCACCAGTCGATCCCGAGCATTCTGTGATGCAAAGAAACATTTCGGAGCGTGGGCGCGATGAAGCTACTGACCAAGGGATAGACAGAGGTGTAACTTCGGATCTTGGTCGAGGCTTCATCCTTGACATCGACAGGAGGGTATTCTGGATGCCTGTGGTGTCTGTCTCAAGCATGGGTTGATCACCCGTTTCCGATAACCTGACATCGTCCAGTGTTTCGAGAAAAGGGCGGCCTGGAATCTGATGGTTGGATTTTTGAGTTGGTGACGAGTTGGTTGGGTTCTCTGGCCTCAGGGCTGTGCTGCCCCTGACTCTTCGAAGGCCCTTTGCTTGACGTGATTGTTCGTATGGCTTTGAGCGTCTCGGAGTAGCTTGCCCGTACGCACCAGTACTCTTCCCGCCGACAGGGTTGGCAGACAAGGCATTTCTGCGGAACGAGGCGGTGGAATGGCGTGACTCAGGAAACGATTCCTCGATATCGGAATCATCGTACTCAACACGGGCAGGGATACGATGCGGTTGACTTTGCTGTGACTGTGGATTGGCCGTGGTTCCCGTAGAACCAGCTCCGGCTGTTGCCTCTCGTCTCTGGATGCTTCCATCGGCACCACGGAGGTACTCGGACTGGATACGCCTTCGACGGTAATCTGAGCCGTAGCCAGAGTCGCCCGAGATGCGTTCGCGAGCAGTCTCCTTGGTCGATTCGGAACGGCTTTCGAGGCTGTCGATGGATGGACTACTCCGGCAGTGCTTCCTTGATTTCAGACTGGAGTCTGACTCCTTGCTGCGGAATGGTAAGGTTGGTTGAGCCTCAAGCTTGGTCGAACATGTGCGCCTCCCTTCATCGATCGTGACGGGCGAAAGGTCGTCCGGAGACGTATGTAGAGAAGACTCGTCTGGTTGGTATTGCAAAGCGATTGCGCGGCGGGTTGCGCGGTCCATCCGGAGGAACTTGGCTGCCAGGTCGAAGGAGGCCTCTTCGTCTGTACGTGCAAAAGCGTCGTGTGATGGCTTTCGATCTCCTTTGGCGTCATCATCAACCACACCGAGGGCCCTGTTAGCCCGCGCTTCGATATCTTGCAAGCCCATGATGGAAGAAAGCCTAGGTGATTGAGAACCTCGCACTTGCGCAGCGCGAGAAATGGCAGAAATAAGATGCGATGAAAAGAAGGCGCGCCTTGCTTCTATTATGCTCAAGGGCGCAGCTGCGCTCTTCTCTTCCTACAGGCTGCGCCGCTTGCGCAGGGGGGCTGCTCTTGCTAAGGTCATCTGCCTGACAGGGCGGAATGACGATCCAGCCAATGGTGGCAGCAGCGCTCACCATCAGCATCTCCATCCGCGACATGGAGAACGCCTTCCGCAGATTTATGCGACATCGCGCAAAAGGTTGCGTCGCCAGCCCTAACGCTTCGAAGAGGCTGCGAGAGAGGGTGACGATGGCTTCGAAGGGCGCGCGCGTGCCCTTTGACTTCTCAATTGAGCAAACCTCAACAGGAGACGGCAGACAACGCGAGGAGCCAAGGATGGGGCATATCATCTGGTTCGCACATATATCAGCAGCTGAGTCCTCAGGACGGAACATGTACAGCAGCGCTGAATAGCATCGTCAACTTCGTCAATCCGGCTTTATCCAGTGAAAACCAGTGAAAAAGCTTGCCCTGGAAGCAGTCAGCCTTTGGGATCATTAAAGCCCTAACCCACCATCTTGAACATGTCTCAAAGATCCGCTCCCTCTCCGAGCACCACATCAAGTGGCCAGTAAGTGCTTCGCGGGTACGGCTGTTATGCACGCGTGCTGACGGAGATCCACAGAGCCTGGAGCAGGCCCTCAGCGCCGATGCTGGGGTCTTATCTCACGGCTCCCCCGCAGCTATCAGACGAGCTGCTCCATATCGCGGCCACCGCGCCTTCGAACCACCACATCTCGTCCTCCAGGCACAGCCAAACTCGGCAAAATCTCGCTGCCTGGAACATACAATGGAGCCAAGCGGGCCAGTCGACTTGAAGTGGTCGGCCAGCACGAGGGGCGCCTGGCGCCTGATCGCGTGTAAGATCAAATGCGACCCTGCCATGGCGAACCAGTTGGTGGTGTGTGGTGGGGTTTTCATCAGACACAAAGCGTGTGCAATTTGTTAGTTGTTGGTCATGCAAAACGGTCCGGGGCGTTGATGAATTGGCGGATGTGATAGGCGAATGGGAAAAGGACTGTGAATTATCACCAGCAATGACGGCATGCAGGAGGGAGAAAACGGGTATTCATGGATGTCGAAGGAAGCCCGTGTTGTACGATTGGCAGTTGGTTTGGTGGGGAATAGATTAGAGGCCGGGGGGTGGGACCTACCGCGATAGCTTGTGTACGATAATGGCATTAGGGCTGCTGAGACACCCGGTACAGGCATAGAGGCCCCGCGAAATGCTTCCCTTCTCACTTCGGAAGGTCATCCGTCTTTTCCGACTTATAAACGACCGCCCCCTGGTGCCGCGTCTTCTTCCTCTTATGTTTACGCCTGAACTCGCTTTGGGACTTTGGGTGAATACTCGCGGTGACCAGAAATTCCCCGATTCTCTTCGCTTCGACCGCACGATTGCCATCATCGCCCACCCATTCTCACCCCTCATTAGCCCCCTGAGCGCCCGCCATGCCTTCTCTGATTGAACTTGCCCAGCTCGCCAGGGGCCTCATAGGTCCCTGGATTTTCCTTTCGTACTCTTTCTACTACCTCCCTGGCACCATCATCCGTCTGATTCGCGCTGGTGATTTTGGCCGACTCTTCTCGTTGTCTCGCCTTCGGGATGCCTGGTTTTATGCCTTCTGGGGCTGGGCTGGGCCAAACATCCGTGCCGGCAATAGTGACCGCATGGTTGCTCTCCTCGAAGGCCGTGTGACCGGCGCCGATGTAGTCAAAGACCCTGTCCACCCTCCTGTGAATGGCGTCGTCTTGGAAATCGGCCCTGGCTCCGGACTGTGGGTGAGCCTCTTCGCCAAGGACAAGCCTGCCACCATGGCTGCCGGTGGTGTGAGACGCAGAGTCGCCGATGGCGTGACGAAGGTGTACGGCGTTGAGCCCAATACCGAGCTGCATCCAGCCCTGAGGAGAAGTGTGAAGGAGGCCGGTCTGGAGGGTACGTACGAGATTGTCCCCGCAGGTATTGAGTCGTTGAACGACCCGACCGTCTGGGGAGGCAAGATCGAGAAGGGCAGCGTCGATTGCATCGTGTCTATCCTCTGCTTGTGTGGCATTCCCGAGCCGGAGAAGAACATTTCCGAGCTGTACTCGTACCTCAAGAAGGGCGGGAGGTGGTACTTGTATGAGCACGTCGAGGTGTCGGTCAACGAGCCGCTTCGGCTTTACCAACGTAAGTCGGACCCCAAACATCCGCAAGACAACGGCACGCTAATCATTTTTGCATGCAGGATTCGTCAACCTCGTGTGGCCTCGCGCCTTGAATGGCTGCGAGCTGTGCCGAAACACCCGCAAGACGCTGGAGTCTGTAGGACCCTGGGAGAAGATTGATGTCGCGCGACCACCGATCGAGCCATGGTACCAGCTTGTACCACACATCTTTGGAACCTTTACCAAGTAAAGACGTTTCTCAACGACAATTTTGATACCGGAAGGTGGTTCTTGCTCCAACTGCTGGCTGCCCAGAAAATCATCGAGAAGAGAAGCGGCGAGCCTCCACTGCCGCCCAGTGGTCGAAGACGGGAGGAATCTGCTAGCACAATGTCATCCATGTACAAAGCATCATAGAAACAGCGTCTCTGTCGTCCGAGTGTTTGCTCTTACCGTTCCATATTATGCCACAGTCCAGTGTCCCCTGCAGCACCCAGCCTGACAAAAATCACACAGTACGGTCCGAAGACGGCCCTCCTTCCTTGTGACCGTTCCCTTGAGGACAAGCAAGCTCGTACTTGGATCGTCACGTTCCTCACGAGAAGGAAACTGCTCCCTGGCCCTTCCGCACCGAAGTCAGACCGAGCCTGCCATTTGCAAGCTACCGTCGCACGACGAAAGAAGGAACTACCTGAGGGTACCTGCATGTTGATTGTTGAAAGGTGCACTATATAATCTTTCCTTCTCAGAGTCTGCCCTTTGCCGAATTTTCTACCTCCCATCACAACAACATCCATTCTCAGGGTCTCCCCATTATCTGCTAACACCGACGCATCATTACTTGCTCACCGTACTCAGCCTTGTTAGTCTCGCCCAGACTTATTGTTGTTCAGCTCAACATCGCGTTCTCCACCCTCCATTTCTCATCCACAGCACCATGCTCTTCACGGCTGTCACCTCGCTGGTCGTCGGCTTCGCGGCCACACTCGCCAGTGCAGCTCCACCCAACGCAGCCCATGCGGCTTCAGATATCTCCAACAGCTGCGATGCCGCGATTCCAAATAAAAAATGCTGCTTCGCTCTCACGGTCAAGCAAGATTGGGGAAACGGGAAAGTACAGGATTGGGGCTACGTCAGGGAATCCAAAACCGGCCAAATCTTTGTCGGATTCGATATCAACTCATATCCACAGGGATACTTTTGTTTTCACGGCGACCCAACCTTTGAGGGAACCGATGGGATACAGGACGGCATAGACAAGTTCTGCGACTTCAGCCCTCGCCACGACGGATATTTCAGCTGCTCTGGCATGGGATCACCGAGATTCGGCACCGCCAAGACAAAGCTGTCGGATGGGAGCGAAATCCTCCTACTCACTCTTGATGGAATTGATTCTTTCGGTATCTGCCCATTCGATGCGAAGAAATCACTCTTCGCCCTCGTCAACATTAAAGAGTTTCCAAGAGATGGATGTCACGGAATTCGCATCGCACTGAAACCGCACACGCCGGATACTTGCCCCAAGTAATTCTTACATGATTCCAAAATCCCGATACACAAACAATAAAATGAAGGGAATGCAAGACCTGAGGGGGTTGGGAAGACGGTGGTGCTCGTAGGAGCGGATGAAGACATGATCAGAGAGTATCGATCCACGCATGAATACAAGAAATTCTTTATTGAAGATGATTCCTACTTGACGTCCGAGAACTGTGATTTCCGTTCGATTTGAAGAATTAAGTCCATTATTAAGTTACGCGTTGCTACCTATCGATATCCATCATGACTGTGCCATCGTCATGGGGGTCAGGGGCTGAGCTCCAACTCTCTTCGCCTCCTCGTTAAGAGCATCCACCTCAGCCTGTACCAGCGGGATGCCAGTCTTCTCTCTCTCCTGCTGATTGAGTTGCTCAATCTCACCCGGGAAGTAGACGCGTTCCACGCCAGCTGCCTTGTCCGAGCCAACGACACGCTGATACAGGTAATCCATCCTCTCCCTAAAGTCGTCCAAGCTCATGAACAGGTCCGGCTTGATGGCGACCAAGAAGTGGCCCACGTCTGCCGGCTTCGAGGGGTCATACGGATTTGTTACATGTCCCGCGAAAGCAGACCCTGACAGCACCCCCGAAAACACGTCCATCATGATGGACAGCGCCGAGCCCTTCGGCCCGCCCATGGGAAGCATGACACCCCCCAACGCAGCCTCCGGATCATCCGTCGGGCGCCCCTCCGCATCCAAGGCCCAGTCCAGGGGAATCTTCTCGCCCCGCCTCTTGGCCTTGTAAATCTTGCCCCTCGCCGCCACCGACGGCGCCATGTCCAGAATAAACGGCTTGTCTTTCCCCGGCGCGCCGCACGCGATCGGCGAGACGCCCATCAGCTTGCTCTTGCCGCCCCACACCGGCAGCGCGGGGCTGGAGTTGGTGAAGACGAGGCTCATCATGTCGGCGTCGATGGCCTGCTGCACGACCCAGGCGCTCATGCCGAAGTGATTCGAGCGCTTGACGCTGGCCATGCCGATGCCGAAGACCTTTGCGGACTCGATGGCGGCGGCCATGCCCATGCTCGCGGCGACGAAGCCGAAGCCGTTGTGGCCGTCGACCTGAGCGACGGCGGGGGTGATCTGGGTGAGCTCGGGCTCGGCAGCAGCGTTGAGGACGCCCTGTCGCACACGCTCCATGTAGGAGGGGATGCGGTTCATGCCGTGGGTGTCGACGCCGCGGAGGTCGGCGGCGACGAGGCAGCGGGCGACGGTGGCGGCGTTGGGGGCCGGCACGCCGTTGCCTTTGAGGATGTCCTCGACGAGGCGGCGTGCTTCGGGTGCTGAGATGTGGATTTTGGGTTCTGTTGCGTCTGCCATTTTGTGGTGTTTCCTTTGTTTTGGTGATACTGTGTGATGAGGTCGAGCAGAAGTTGACCTTTGAAGCACCGGGGATTGTAAGATGTATGCTAGGAAAAGGGTATTGCTGTGATGTGAGTTAATGAGAAGTGATGAGTATTATGAGCTTCCCAGATGGTGTTTCACTTCACAAGACTTGACATGAGCCTCGTGATCTAGGATGTCTGAACGTACAGTTGCGTTGAATGGCCGCCAACTATGCGGGATTAGCCCGACCCAACAAAGTCTTTGCTGCGGGGTTTCCCCGCGCCAGTCTCGCCTCCGTCTTTTTTCAACCTCACCTCTGCGTGCCCACATCGGACATTTCCCGAGCATCTTCATCCTCCTGCTTGACAATCCATCTCGACCGTTCCCGAAGCCCGCGTGTTCGGAATGCGAACATCACCATCTGCAGTCTCCGGAACATGCCCGATTTGAACACCTCCAGGCCGCCGCCAAGCCGCCAACCGCGGAGGACGGCCCGGCTGCGTCTCGCGTGCGCCCGCTGCCAGAGGCGGAAGATCCGTGTAAGTGCGCGCCAAGGGTGGATCACGGTTCTCGGCCGGCGATGCGGAGTGGATTTTGCTGATTGGATGCAGTGCGACGGCCAGCTCCCGGCTTGTAACAATTGCAAGAAGGCTTCGGTTGCCTGTATCGATGGAGAGAGTGTGCGTCTGAAGGACCTGCCGAGGGCGTGAGTGCGTTTGCTACCCTCCTGGGGCTTTGAGTCTAACGAACGCAAAGGCAGATATCTAATCTGAAAGATCGCATCAGGTGGCTTGAGAGCATAGTCCGAGACCGATGTCCTGATGTGGACTTGGCTCAAGGCCCATCCAGTGATCTGGACATGGATGCTGATGGTGACGACACCTTTGTCGCCGAGACAACGGTTGACGATGGTAGTGTGCAACCGGAAGACCACATGAGCGCACCTGATTCCAATGGGTCTGGACTTCACCCACCTGTGGCTTCTGAAGCTGCGCCCATCCCACAAACTCGTCCTGATGCGCGCGTGATTGATCCATCAGCAAGTAATGCCCTATCACACGAGATCGGCATGGTTTCTCTGGGCAGCAACCAGGACCCCAAGTACATCGGACCTTCCAGTGGGTACTTCCTGGCCCGTCTGATGCTCAACTCCACGCGCCAAGAAGATCAGGCAGCGTGGCCGTCCAGGACACCGGCGCAGAACAGCCCGTTCCCGACGGCACTCGTTGAGGCGATGCAAGGCCCGCTCCCACTGCCAGGCAAGGACCAAGCCCGGCAGCTCGCCGAGATGTACTTCGACGTCATCAACGTACAGTACCCCATCCTCCACCAGCCAACGTTCATGATGCTGCTGGACCAGGTTTATGAAAACGGCTTGGAGGCGGAGCATGGCCCGACGGGCGCTTTCCAAGTTTTCATGGTGCTGGCGCTCGGAGCTACGGTTCTGTCCCGTCGGACGAGGGCTAGGCTTTCTGGGGAGTCGTACTGCTTGTCAGCCCTGCAGTATTTCGATCGCATCAATGTTGAGAATTCCATTCGCGGGCTGCAGTGTCTGCTGCTACTGACGATATTTACGATGCACAGCGCGTGTATGCGTCTAGATGTGTGGTATCTCAACTACCAGTGCATAGCCGCCGTTCTTGACTTGGGTCTTCAGCGAGACATCAACACCAATGCAGGAATTTCTCTGTTGGAGCAAGAGATGCGGACGAGGATATTCTGGGTCGTGCTCACCCTCGACAGGATGATTGCTACGATGATGGGACGACCTATTGGGCTGCGAGACGAAGCCTGCGACCTTCGAGTGAGTAGTCCATAACCTATGATAGATGATGCCGCTAACTTTCCGATAGCTGCCCCAAAACATCGATGACTTTGCACTGCACAACTTCGGCCAACCAGGTGGATCTGTACCAGTGGGCCGCATGGCTTTCTCTATCCACCTGTTCCGACTAGCCAAGCTCAACTCAGAGTTTAAATACGTCGCCAACAGCATTGTCCGCGATACCCCTCGATATGCCTACCCTGCAGTGATCGACATCAACGAATGGCAAAATGGCATGCTTCAGCAATTGGATGAATGGCACAGCACAATCCCTCAACACCCAGGAATGGAGTATGTCCAGATTGTCTGCCAGATAAGGTACCACGGGCTCCGGATGCTACTTCTACGGCCCAGTCCCGCGATACCCAACCCTTCATCAGACTCCTTACGCAAGTGCTTCGACGCCGCGTGCCAGGGCGTCCGTCTTCTGGACCAGCTGTACAAGCAAAACATGCTGATGCACGCTTGGAACACGCCTCATTCAATCGTCTTGAGTATCATCACCATGCTGTATTGCATCAAAATGGTGCCCGAGATTGCTCGTCAAACAGCGTTGGACTCACTCATGTCCGACTTCAGTGCCGGACTGGGGGTCCTGGCTGCCACCGGAGAGCATTGGTCTGGAGCGAAGCGGTGCCGAGATATTCTCGACGACATGATTCGCGCCACTGTTCGTTGGATCAAGGACATGTTGAGCCAACCTGTCACGTTGGACGTGCCGCAACATCGCAGGTCCTCGCGTCTGGAATCTACACAGGCACCACCGCTCAACCCATACGATCCCAATCTGAATGGGGCTTCAGCAGGCAGAATCGGCTTCTCTGAGAGCCTGTCGCATCCGATTACTATGGCATCAATGGCCTCAAATGGCCCAGATGCTTTTCTGCCCCAGGACCCCTTCGAGTCGTTCCTGTCCAACACAGCTTTCGGAGACCAACTGCAGATGGGAGAGGGATCGAACTTGGACAGTATCATGCGTGGTCTCTTTGACGACTTTATACCGACATACCCTAGCTTCTCTTGAGCTGATTGCGGCTATTTACAATGATATTGTACGAAATAGTGTTTTTAATATGGCACATTACAAATGTCTAATTATTCCCAAGTCATAACCCTCGTGATGGACCGCGAGCCGTTAGGAAGTCAAAGTCTCCGCCGCCCTCAGCCTGATTAACTTCGCGCAAGTACAAGCCGCGGTAACCCCTGATTCGCTTCTTCGCGATCCAAGGCGCGTTACTCCCACCATTTGCCTCCTCCTGCTCTAGGACCTGGAGCTTCTCGGCTATCCTCTTCTTGATCTCTTCATCTGAGATTTCGACCCTGATCACACGCTGCTCTGCGTCAAACGTGATGATGTCGCCGTCCCTCACAATCCCTAACACCGACTCGGGATCAGCTGCCTCGGGAGAGATGTGCAGGACGATGGTCCCGCCAGCGGTACCGCTCATCCTGCCGTCCGAGAGACGCAACATATCCTGCACACCCTGCGCGGCGAGTTTCCGAGGAATCGGGATCAGACCTGCTTCCGGCATGCCCGGGTTTCCAACCGGACCGATATTTTGCAAAACAAGCACACTATCCGGCGTAACGTCCAAGTCCGGATCGTCAATCCGAAGCGCCATATCCGCGGACCCAGCGAACACGACCGCGGGGCCAGAGTGCTTCAGCAGATGCCGGTACTTTGACGCGCTCTGCTTGATTACCGCGCCGCCAGGGGCGATGTTGCCCCGGAGCACAGCGAGCGCAGACGCCGGGTACAGCGGCTCGTTGAACGGCTGCAGGCAGTTGACCAAGCTGTCTCGCGGCACGGGGATGAAGGGCGTGCTCGCGAGCTCCTCGCCGAGCGTCCTGCCCGTGACCGTCATCGCGTCCAGGTACAACAGGTCCTTGATCTCGTGCAGCAGCGCGAGCATGCCGCCGCTGTTGTGGAAGTCGGTCATGTAGTTGTCGCCGCTGGGCTTCAGGTCGACGATCAGGGGCGTCTTGCGGCCGATCTCGTCGAAGGTGTCGAGCGTGATGGTGCCGGCGACGGCCGGGTGGCGGCCGATGATGGCCATGAGGTGGACGACGGCGTTGGTGGAGCCGCCGATGGCCTGGAGGACGGTGATGGCGTTGAGGAAGGACTCGCGCGTGAGGAGGTCCTGGGGCTTGAGGCGCTTGGTGTGCAGGGCGACGGCGAGGGCGCCTGTTTGCTCGGCGATGCGGAGGCGGGCGGAGGAGACGGCGGGCGCGGTGGCGCCGGCGAAGGGCATCATGCCGAGGCCGACTAGGATGCAGGCCATGGTTGAGGCGGTGCCCATGACGCCGCATGTTCCTCCCTGCGTTATGTTAGTAAAGCGATATGAGTTGAGAGGCGTGGTTCGCACTCACCGTTGGTGCAAGCTCGTCATTGATGGCGGAGATGTCTTCGATATCAATCTTTCCGGCTCTGTATGCTGCCCAGTTGTTGCGGCAATCTGTGCATGCGCCGATTCTTACACCCTTGTGGCTGCCCGGCATCATTGGCCCTGTTACCAGATGCAAGATGGGCTTATTCGCAGAGATACCACCCATCAACTGAGCCGGTGTCGTCTTGTCACATCCTACCCACCTGTCAGCCCCAGCACCGTCCGTCTCGGACAACGTAACATCTTACCTCCAATCAACACCACAGCATCACACGGCTGCGCCTTGATCATCTCCTCGGTGTCCATACTCATCAGATTCCTAAGATACATGCTCGTCGGCGACGCGAAGCTCTCCGCGATGCTGATCGTCGGGAAGTCGATCGCCAGCCCGCCGTTGAGCTGCACGCCGCGCTTCACGGCCTCGATGAGCTGCGGCACGTTGGCGTGGCACGGGTTGAAGCTCGAATATGTGTTGACGATGCCGATGATGGGGCGCGAGAGCGCATCCTCGCTGTAGCCGAGGGCCTTGATGAAGACCTTGCGCAGGAAGAGGGAGAAGTGCGCGTCGCCGTAGGAGGTGAGGCCCTGGCGGAGGCCGGTCGAGTTGGGGTCGATTGGGGTTGAGAGGTCGTAGTCGCCTGTAACCGGCTTCTTTTGTTCTGCCATTTTTACTTACCCTTTTCGTTTTCTCAATTTGGATTTTGATGTTGGACTTTTTGGTGTTAGTTGGCTTGCGATTATAAGGGACGGTCACGTCATGAGGAGTATTAGTATTCCTGGTTTTATGGTTGGCTAGATGACCTTATCCGCGGGCCCGGTTGAGGTGCGGGGACTCCGCATGTCGTGATCCCTACGGTAATAGGACGGCCGAAGGACTCGGAGTCTTGTCCGTGGCTGGCGGAATTTCTCCGTTTGTACGCGACTTACAGCAAACTCTCATCGAGAAGTTTGCTTGATGGCCGTGGCATTCGAGGAGCATTACAGTGCGTGTTTTGTATGTGGTTTATTTCAGTATAAGTTAGGCTTTTGAATCGAGTAAAGTAATCTTGATTATCCTGACCCAACTTCAACATTCCTTCATCGTCAACGAAGCCCCATCTTTTCCGACCCTTTTCCGTCACCACTTAGACCACACTCATGCTCGACCTCAAAGGAAAAGTCGCCCTCGTCATCGGCCTTGGCCAAACCGGCTCAGAGGGCTGGGGTATCGGCGCCGCATGTGCCGTCACTTTCGCGAAGCAGGGCGCCGTAATCTTTGGCGGGAACCGCACTATCGAGTCAACAGCCAAGACAAAGAAGGCTATTGAAGATATCGGAGGCGTCTGCGATGTCGTTGCCACCGATGCTACTTCTTCCGAGTCTGTAAAGGCGCTCGTAGAAGCGTGTCTGGCAAAGCACGGCCGCATCGACATTCTCCTAGCAAACGTCGGGCAATCCCAGCCCGGCTGCCCTGCAACCATGCCCGAGGGGACGTGGGACTCTCAGATCGAGATCAATCTCAAGACTGTATACTTAGCATGTCATCATGTATTGCCTGTGATGGAGAAGCAGGAGACGGGCGGGAGCGTTGTGTGCATATCGAGCATTGCGGGGCTGAGGTACATCGGGAAGCCGCAGGTCGCCTACAACACGACCAAGGCGGCGATTATGCAGTTCGTCAAGGCGACAGCCGTCATCTATGCCCCCAAAAAGGTGCGGCTGAATACCGTTGTCCCGGGGTTGATGGAGACGCCGTATACCAAGAGTTTGGCATCGAGGTTTCCGATGGAGGGCGGGTACGAGGCGTTCAGGAAGATGAGGGATGAGCAGGTGCCGATGGGGAGGATGGGGGATGCGTGGGATGTTGCGAATACGGCGGCGTTTTTGGTTTCTGATGAGGCGAGGTATATCACGGGGCAGAAGATTGTGGTTGATGGCGGGATTACTTCTTCTACAGGACGGACATGAATTGAAGATTGTTACCAGGTGGCGGTACTTTTTGTCCTGCTCGAACCCTGCACATGTCACCTCTTGCCAGATTTCAGATGCGTATTTCATAAGAGACGAGTGGGACTACAAACATTATGCTTAGCGCACCGGGGAATGTTTCTGTCGCTAACCGTATTGTATAAGCCCTGGTGCAAAACGTGATGTATGTGTAGCTGAAAGGGACAGTAAGGGTGTCGGCGCGAAGTTTATACACCTCTGATAAAAGTCCTGCCACTCATGTCTTCACTACAGTTTCTCTACGTGCCTAAATAATAATTATGTCCTCCACGTGTTGCTGGTAGGCTGCAACGAGTTCTATTTCAGAGAACCTTTTGCGATGTCTGTCCGAAAACCATCCTATTCTCTTGTAAATGCGGTCCAGCTCACTTACAGGAGCTAAGATAATGCAAATGAGGTCGGTTTCCTTGGTATACGTTGAGTCCCCATTAACCGAGCAATTGCGCTCTTGGGCGTTAAGAACTAGGAAATTGATTGTACCACGCCCCTTAAATTGGATTTCTGTAGTGTCTGGAAAGGGCAACACAGAGATCGGATGGGCGTTTTTGTCTTTCAACCGAATCAATATCTGTCCGTCAATCGACTCTTGGCTATAGTGTCCAGCGATCAAGGGACCCCTCAACTTAATGTATCCTCCGGTAACGTCGACAACATCTTGTTTCCCGCTTCTTGTTGTAACATCCACATCTAGGACTGAAACCTGAAAGTGGTAATCAGCCGCGGTCATATGCATCTTAAAAGGCCCATCTACCGATGCCCAAGACCAGGAAGGCGCCCAATATTGAGATGACAGCCTTGGCCTTGGAGTGAAGACGGTCCAATTCAGCAAATGTAAGACTCGTGACCGCCATAGACCCGCGAGATATCTGTCACCGGTCACCTCCTGGAAGAGCTTGGCGATGCCGGAAAAGGCGTAGAGCTTGTCCTCTGGCCTCGTGAAGCGGCATTGAGAATAGGCCGTTACAAGATCGCGCCATAGTTCCAGCGCGTCGAAAGCCATGACGTGGTCGTCAACCCCTTGTTTCTGTGTTTTATCCAGTTGTTTCCTCTCCTCAAATGGCTTAAGTAGTCGTTCGGTATCCTTGAAAGATGTATGGAGGGGAATCCCTCGAGGAAAGCCCTCACACTTATGTTCCTCAAGACACTCCCACAGAACCTGATGTTGTGTAAAGTAGAGCTGGCGCGGCCCCAGAAAACGTTCCTGAAAGACCCATCCCCTGCGATGAAGTGAACCCCCGAGAAGGTGGCGATCCCAATAGCTTTTATCAAAGATATAGAATGTTTCAGGGTGACCTGACGCTAGAGTCGAGGTGACCAAACCAGGCCGAATGTCTCGCCCATCTCGAGACCGGAAAAGTCCTCCATCAGCGTCATATGACGCAGAAGCGGCGATATTACAAGCCGCGTTTGCGTATACATGCCGCATCTCAGGAGCTTCAGCCTCCCAATCGTCTCGGGAGTCTTGAATGATGCATAGGCAGTCAATCCATATGTATCGAATTCCCAATCGCCGTGCCACAATAACTGTATCTTGGAATGTTTTGGGCAGACTAGAGATCTCCACTCCTTGTCGAAATTGGCTCATTGTGGACGATGTCAAGAGCTCGTGCTGGACATCGTCTCCCCAGCGGTAGCTCAGAGTCAGATACAGAAGAGATTCAGACAAAATCGCATCTGTGCTTGTGATCAAAAGCTTCCATTGCGTATCCCCATGAGATCCAATGTCTATAAGACGTGACGGAAGCCAGCCCTCTGTCTGTCCAGGATGAGCCTTGCACTTCCTTGTATGGCGAGATGTGCACTCGCGAAACCAGGAATAAGCCAAGTCAAGGGTTTGTGAAGATCCGGTGCTTTCTTCGATGTCCGAGAACACGAATAAGTTCTCGTATTCACTTCCTATTTATTGTCAGTAACCGCATAATCATGAGCTCGTTGAAAGCGAGCTGTGTGGGCACGCAGTCGTAATTTGCGTACCTATTGACGGTATCAACCTGAAACGAACGTCGGTGGCCTGCTCTATTTGTTCTCGCGTCGGGTCATTGTAGAGGATCCAGACTCTGATTTGATACAGCGTATTCTTAGGATACTCTTCTTTATCGATGATGTAGTAGAATGGACTCCAACTTTCCGGGGGCAGACAATCCCACGCTCGCCGATGCTGCTGGGAGAGATTCCATACTTTAGAGCATATAAAGCAATCATCAGCGGCAGCCTTTCGAAAACGTTCCAAACTCTGGCCTGGCGGCATGCTTGTGGCGTCACGACCGGTCCGACCACTGCTAGTCTGGATGACCTGCGTGCAGATAGAACATAGCCAGCTATTTGACCGAGACATTGCGATATCGATCTAAAAGCGGCTTTCTTGGTGCGACGTCGTTCAGCTTGGTATGGTTGTCAGGATAATTGAGCTATCGGGGTATTTAAAGAGTAAAGCAACAATCATAATCGCGGTGAGAGGCTTGGTTCTTGAGCTCTTGACCCCGCTCTCGAATGATCTGCCAACCCACAGTTTTTATCAATTCATCCTGCCTGTATGTGGCACAAGCGACTTTGAGACGACCAGCCAATCAACACTGTGTATTTTCTAGACCTTGCTATTTTGCAATTCGAGGATCCCTAAGTTCTTCGCAAAACCTAACAAAGCTCAATTCACCACTGTCAAATCTGGGTATCTTAGTTTCGACACTACACAGCACCATTCACGATTCCCTTCGCTACAAAGTCCCACATGTGTTCATCATCCTCCTCAACTTCGAAATCAAATCTTATGACATCCTCTTTGAAGGGCCAGAGGTAGGTGCTGGTCACCCTGCGGAGCTGGTCAGCATTCATCCAGAGAACAGCTGTGGGCAATTACCTATGGTGTTCAGCACTAGCCTGGTACTCTTCAAGTGCCTTGCGGTCCTCGTGGAAGCTCAAAAGTGCGAAGTGATAGCCCTTGCTTCGCTCTATCGGGTCGGTAATGGAGGGACCTCCGACAACAAGACGTTGTGCTTTCACACAGGGAAGTGTCTTGAGCGTCTTGAGCTCTCTCACGAATGTTGTTTTATGTTCGTCCGTCACATCGGGACGAAACTTGAATAACACTGATGGTAATACGCATTAGCATAAAAAGATTGGGTGCACACATGGGGCGCTAGCCTCACCAATATGAACGACAGTCATCTTGAAAGGTCTGAGTATGGAAACGGCAAACTTGGTCCTCCAAATGAACAGCGACTGCAGAGAGAATGAGCGACCTGACTTGAATGGATAATAATTGAAATTTCAGAAAAGCTGCCTTCAGCAGGCCTTGTTGATGAAAATTGCTTCCTAACCTCTGGGAGAACGGACAAATCCCGCGGCCAACTGACACGATCCGCATCACCAGCGGGAATTGTCCGTCTCCGCCATCTACCCCCGAAGCCCCACCTAGTCACACTCGGCGACAAAAAGCATCTCCCCGATGCAATGTCGGCAACTTCGGGAGATGACCGAGAAGACCAGTAGGTCCAAACCACGCGTAGACCGGAAACGAGAAGATTTGTAGACCGTTAGATGCTTTTCCCATCGAAACTCGGCCTTCGGGTTTGTAAGTGCGTTTGCCCACTCACAACTCCCAGTTCGCGTTCATTCATGATCACTTAAACGTAGGTGAGTAGGTTCGATATAATAATAGATTAAAATTTAAAACTTAAAACATCGCCCTCAGCTTACCGACATCAGTCAAGTTCCCGATTTTAGTGAATGCGTCATACGCTCTAACCGCCCTGTCCTCGCCAATAGCGATGGTGACTTGGTCCATGAACTTCTTCTTCAAGTCCTCAACGGTGAGTGGGTTCTCCTGGCTACCGATCGCGTTCACAATGTGTTTGTCCAGCTTTGTCCCATCGCTGAAGTTCACCGTGATGTATCCTTGCGCGTTATCCACGCTTGCGTCCGTGGTCACGTTGACCTTCTTCCGCAGTTCAGCCACCGTCTGATTCTTCACTACAGCATCGGTGAACTCCTTGGGTGTTGCCTCTCCATAGAGCAAGCCCACAGCTGTAGCGTGATAGATGCTGAACTTTCCCTCCAGGCCGGTTTGGGGGTCGGTCTTCCCTGTGAGGATCAGGACTTGTGGGTTGACGCGAAGCTGGATAGACTCAATGTCTGAAACAGCTTTGCCTTCTTGTAAAGTCTGGTTGTGAAGCTGGATTGCGCCGTCGATGGATGGGTGCATGACGATGCCACAAGGGAATGGCTTGAATGTGTTCTTTTCAACCTCCCATATCTTGCCAAGTTGATCGAAATATGCCGTTGCGTTCTCACGCGTGCTAACAACGTGAAGCCAGCCAAACTTGGCTTCGAGACCTTGCAATGAGCTTGTGTAATTGTTCTTGGCAAGTAGGGCAGCAAGCATCCCGCTTTGCGCCGCTCGGCCGACGTGGAATGACTTCGTGTCCGAGCCAAAATACTCTTGCATGCCAACAACTTGTGTTGATGCGATGCCGATGGCGTTTTGCATCGTAGTGGTGTCAGATCCAAGAAGTCTGCTGACTGCCACTGCGGCGCCTATGGATCCAGTTGTGCTTGTGATGTGCCATCCCACGTTGTAATGCTCGGGGTAGACCGACAAACCCAGCTTGCACTCCGCCTCAACGCCAGCTACGAAGGCGGTGATAAAGTCTTGGCCGGAGACTGGAGCTTTCCATTCAGCAACAGCAAAGAGCGCACTGGCGACAGGTCCAGCGGGATGGATGATTGTCTCCAAATGAGTGTCATCATAATCGTCAACGTGTGAAGCAATGCCGTTGATCAGGGCCGCTGTCTGCGCATCCGCGTACCCTGCGCTGATGGAGTCATTGGCGCCAAGGATACTCGACGTCGGAGGGCCGCTGAAGGCAGCGAGGGTGGTGTTCTGCGCAATCTGGGGTGCGTCTTGGATGTAACCCCCGATTGCGCATCCGGCCCAGTTGTAAAGACTCTTGACAGCGGCGTCAACCACGCCGGTCGTGAGATTGGCGTAAGTCAGGTTTGTCGCCCACGTTGCGAGCTGGAGAGTGGCCATTTTGGGATGCTCTTGAGACGATGCGCCATCTTTGTCCTCGGCGTGAGAACGCTTGTTTTTATCATCACTCGATCTTTCCATCTTCACTGACGTTTAACCGACGTCGGCGCCGAGTGGTAGCGGGGGTAATGCGAGGTTCAGCGGTTGGTCGGATTTGACGGCATTTAGACCATGTAAGCGGCAGATAACTCACGGATTCTGCCCGACCCTAGCCACATAGCGATTGGTAATTGGTGGCGAACGACGAACCCCTCCGGCAATGCTGGAAATGGCGGGGTAGATTCAACTTTCGGGGCAGTGATCGTCGCCCATTCCAAGTGAAACTTGATGTTATGCTTAAAATGAAGGTACAGATTGCTGGCCAAATCAGAGTGCTTCTCTATTATGGCAGAGATCATGCTGCGATTACACCCAGTCAACGATCCTTGTGCATGAAGAAACATGAGAGCACAGGTTCTGCTACCTCGCCAAATATCGTATCAAAGACCCTGGCCTCTACTGGTAGCCAACATGAAGGGCCTGACCAACACCAACGCCACGGGCTCTTTGGGTACTTGAGGATTTCTGGAGGGTATGAGTAGTTTAATAGTACCCTTTAAGATCGCGATCATTGATATTAGCAGGTTTTTCTCGACTTTCTTCCCTTGCGAAGAAAAATCCTGAGTGGCTGTCGCATACTAAGATGAAAAGGCCGCCCAGTAGAAAACGAAGCACACGGCTACGGTCCCTTTGGCGGATGCGGCTTCGTTGGTAGCCTCGATACGTTGCTGCAGTATGGCAAGAGTAGCGAATGATGCAGCTATCACCATTGTGCCAATCACTGGCAGTTTGTTTCATAGTGTCAGTGATGGAATCGTGGTGTGGGTCGACTTTCAACAAGAAAATGAACGCTGAGAGGGGCACTTGCAGGAAGACGACCTTCGCCCCATTTCCGAAACGAAGCAAACGAACGCCAAAGATGGAACAAGCTGTGGCCCATGCTGTAAGACCGACGTTGGCCTGGAGAAGAGTGAAGGTGTCGATCACACCAGTTATACGGATGATGATAGTGAAGAAATATCTGCCCATATGCTTGTCAGCAAATTCACGTTGAAAGGCCGAGAGTGATCACTGGGGAAGTCCCCATACGGTAAGAAATTACTGCCTTTAGTTGGAAGAAGAGATTTGTTGAGACGGTGATGAGGAACCTGCAAAGATTGCGAGCCGCTCAAAACATCTTTTGATCATCTCTCAGAGACAGGATTAACTTACCAAGAGATACAAGGGATTTCCAGGAACTTCTTTGGCTCAATTGACTCTCAAGTTCGATTGTCTGCTTGATCTGCAGAAATTCTGCCAGAATCTCAGGCTCGTTCCTATTTCTCTAACGGATCTTGACGAGGACATAGAAAACCTGTGGTATTAACAATCGTTATGAACGGGAATCAAAGATGAGCTAAGGCACTCACCTCATCTGCAGGGCCCTCGGTCACTAGCCAGCGAATGCTTTCTGGTGCGAAAGGGAGTATTTAAAACGCAATGGCGGGTCCGGCAATGTCAGCCTAAATAACCTAGACGTTAGCGACTGACTGATACAAAGTTTATCAATATGGAAATCCGATACATACCATGAGGCCTGCCATCCATGCCCAATTCGAAGTCTTGTTGCAAACTCCCAGATAGATAAGACCACCAACCATGCCTTTGATAGGCAAACAATCAACCATGGCGTTTGTTATCTCTTCCCGATACTTCAGAGGACCAACCTCGATGAATCATGATGGGGCGCCAGCACCCGTAACGATAAATGAAAGACCCAATAAGGATTGACCGTGTGCTTGCTGCTGAGCCCCGCCCACCCACATGGGAAGATGAAGAGTCTCTTCCATACTGACGTGCTTTCCTGACCGAGATCTTCCGATGGCGCTCTGCCATCGCGCTCGGCGGTCCGCCACATGCACCCACCCAGGACGATGTATACAACGGCATGCTCATTCCTGCCGGTACCACCATCATCGACAACCTGTGGGCGATACACCGCAACCCACGCGATTACCCAAACCCAGATGAAGTGAGACCTGAGAGTTTCTAGAGGAGGCTGAGAGGCGGCCGAATCCTAGCAAGAGGGGCATCTTCATCTTTGGCTGGGGGAGGCGCGTTTGTAGTGGACAGCCGCTTGCTGAGCAAAGCGTATGGTTCACTATTGTGGAGCTACTTTGGGCATTCCGGATGCGATCCGTTGACGAGCAGGTATGTGACACATTAGCTAGCTTTTCTCCGTCATAGCTACGGTTCTTCTCCCGCTCGAACAAGAAGTTGGCGTTTGACGGTTATGATTCATCTAGGGAAACGACAAAAAGTTAGGCATCTTTGCGTTTAACAATAGCCAGCACCTCGGCCGCTGCCATTGAACGTTGAGTTCACCCCTCGTTCTGAGAAGATCGAGGAGATAATCAGGCAAGAAGCATCGAGGGCGGAGCTGGAGTTGAGGAAATATGATATCGCCAGCAAGGTCACTCTCGATAACAACTACGTTGCGAATCAATGTCGACAAAGCGCCTGAGATGAGCTAAGCATTCGTATGACTATAGGCATCACGTCCCGCTCATATCCAATGGCTATGACAAGCTAGGCGTGATGTGATCGTTTAGGCGGCAAAGGAAAATAGACACTCTTCGTAATTGTCTAGACGACAAACCCCATGTACTCTTCAAGGGTTTAGAAACGTATCAGAAGATCTACCTTAACTGAGATAGAAGACCGGATCGAACGCATGCATGTTGGCAAACAGACAGAACTCCGGTGGTCCAAGCTCAACCTCTTTTGCCATCTTTTCGAAGTGGCGCTTGAGAATGGATTCCATATCTTGTTTCTGCTCGTCGTTTGGATGTCGGAGGAAATACACCATGCTAATGTGGAAACCATATTCGTCGTGTATCGGATGCCGAATCTTAAGCTCATCGGCAAGCCGATCCCTTAGAGCCCTCAAGCGTTCCACTTCTGCTGGTGTAATGCCATCGAGTCGCACCGCAACCCCAACATCAAGTATATCAATTCCTTTCACCACCACTCTGTATGGCGCTGTAGCCTCGGGGCCTAGGGTAAACTTTCGAAGTTTCTTCTCAAAGTGCTCATTGCATATTTCCTGAGTGGCATCAAGGGCGAGGTCAGAAGGCCAATAACCCGGTCTACGGACCTGATCACTGACGCCCTCGAATATTGTCATATGCAAGCTGGTAGCCGGAAGGGGCGCAATGATGGACGACGTTTTGCATGACGACAATTCTTCGATGACGGCCTCTATCGAGTGATAGACAGGACTTGATGGCGGGATGTGACAGATGATTGTGTCTCCCGCCCAATGTTGAAGAGTCCCATCGGAGCTGAATTTGCCGGGCACGCCTGCCGGGTAGCGGGGACGGTCGTTGGCTTTCATTTGGGCCATGTAGAGCAATAATTCGCATAGATATTCGTGCACCAGTTCAAAAGCAATTAAAGTTAAGACAGTTTTCTTGTTGATGAGAACCACGTCGAACGGAAATCACGTACGATTATGAGAATAGGAGGGGAGGCAAACATTTCTTTAATATTGCCATGTGATCAACGACCACGCATGTGAACGAAACGTTGCTCTGTGTGACTCTCAAACCTGCTGTCCCTCCATTCCGAGCCGTCTGGCCAATGGAAGTTTCCGAAACTTCACGCACAAAACCTTTAGGACAAGCAGTTGACTCCAAATGTGCCAGCCTTGCATGTACCCGTAACTTTACGCTCGCCTCCAGGCTATATTCGAGATCATAGTCAGCAGATGAGCGTCTCGTTATCTTTGAGTACCGATGGCACATACGTTGTCTTGGCAGGTCATGGTGCAAGCAGCGCCAATGTTATTTTGGCCGCATTCAGGCACGGTCTTACATGAGGTGGAAACCGTCTCCTGGGGAGTGGCCTGCGCTGATGCTTGGCCAATGGAAATGGCAGAAAGAGCGATGATGAAGAAGAAGCGCATTTTAGGCTGCTTTGTGGCTGATTATCGTTCAAGGTAAATCTGATCCTAGATGCGACGAGATTTAGCACATTGGATGAAGTGAGCGAAGAGGATTTTGTTGATTTTGTATCGGAACAAACTTAGCACAGCCTCATCATCAAGTCTACCGCATGAATCAGGAGAGTGGGTTGCCGATGGGGGCAATCTATCAATAGACTGAGTTTGCCGGCGGGAGCAATCAATTTCTTGCACATGTTGCGACGCCTAATGTCGGCTAGAATTAAAGTTTAGATGACACTCGAAAAGCAAAGCATACAGGTTTTCGCTAAGCCCTACGACAATCACGGAGGCATACCCAATGCTGAGAAAGGGCGATGTTAGCGCCTAACTTGTAGATGAAACGAAAGCCCAGCCGGGGAAATCAAGATCGACGCGGCCGATTATCATATCTCTGTTCGCGGATTCATTTTTACGATTGGCCATGTTCGAGCAGAACAACTAGACTACATGAGTCGTTAAGATGATTAACCATGCGTAGAACTGTTCACAAATAAGACGGAGCGTCGAGGCATTTGAGTTGATCAGCGTGACTCGGTCGTGCCGGCCGTGCCGTCCACGTCCCGCAGTAGCCAATGTTGGAAATTTCCGGGGAAACATAAACCCCAAGAAATAATAACCTAACTGAAAGATGCCTACAACCTAGCCTGAAGAACTCCAAGATTAACAATAGCCGTAAGCCAGCGGTTATTTGGCTATCCGGGTATAGCTTTGAACTAGAGAGGTCAAGACCGAGGAACATGGAACCAATGAACTATGAAATAGATCAACCGAATGATCAGATGTGTCATGGATCGTTCCATTGCAACCTTGGATCAGGAGAGTCACCTTCAAGAGACGGCTAGGCTTCCTTGTCCTGAACATTGCGCAGTTGTGTGCGAGCGTAGTGAAGGAAACCTTGATCGGAGTTGAGGCCGCAGACGTGCGAATTGAGGCGCTGCGATCGAGGGGCTGATTCTGTGGCTGGGCATCCTCTCGGGGTAAGAGATGCCCTGATTATTGAATACGCTTGCTTTGTTCTCTCTGCCATACCTTAGTTAAGGTTGGATTTGGTAATAAACGAGCTGCAGTTTGTAGTTGATAGCCATGGATGCATGGTTGAGACGCAAGCCTTTCGAAATGCCTGACAAGTTGCCTCCTTATTTAGCACTGTCAAAAGACTATCCAATGTTGAGGGAGTTTTGGGCCACCCAGTAGGGGTTTTCACAGTAGGGGAAAAAGCATTAAAAGTACCTCGGTCAGTGCCCAGTCCAGTGCAGTAGCTTCGCAGTATACGTTCCCAAGGTCAATACAAAGGCGTAGTGAATTGAATGACTCCAATTGAGCTACACCAATCCTAAAACAACGTCCAAGGCCTAATTTCCCGTGCCAGTGCCTACGGCTATTGGAGCAGCTTTTACTTGCACTAAGCTTTCCAGTGCTCCTGTTGCCGCCCCAAGTGCTCCTATCCTCAACACTGTTTCATGCGTCTTCCTTCATGTTGAAGCTTGCGACACTGAATGTTTGCACGAGTACTGCAGAGTGTACTTCTGTAAGTCCAGGAAAGGTTTATATTAATTCTTATTGTATAGACAAATACTTCAGGGTTTACCATTACCATAAGTCCTTCAATTCAAGTCTCGTTGCCAGTCCGTTATCTGCGAAGAGTATTGAGACTGCTTTTTCTATCACCACTCCCGGAGTGATTTGTACAATTTCAAATATTTGCAGATACTTTCCGGCCCACTCAAATCATTTGGATCAATAGTCTCTTGGACATATTGAATCTTGCAATGTGTACACCAATGCAAGGAACGTTGCCATACTTCTAAGACTTCCTCAATCTCATAGATTGGAAATGTGGCCCCGACAGTAATCTTAACTGTGCGCTGTTCAACTTCACATCTGAACAAGAAGCCTTGGCCTATGCCTGGAGTCCAAATCTCCAAAATCTTCAGCATACCCATGTAAGAAGCTGCTTGCGCCGCGACCTTCAGCATATCGTATATCTGCGTTAAATTGACATTTCGGTACTGTATGCGATAAGTCAGAGCAACTTGTTGAAGCAATGGTTTGGATCGAGTCTTCAGAGCTTCCTCCACGAATGAATTCAAGAATCTGTAGGCGTCTATTGCGTGAGAAATTGCCAAATCCCGCAGTTTGAAGCTGGCTCGCGCTGCCTGCTTGGCGAGCTCGCTGTTTGACTGGGACTGCATGAACTTGGAATAACAGTCGCCTCCATGTAGCTCCCAAGATTGAGCTTCCCATAAGGTCACCGCGCGTACGTTGGCGCCAAGATTCCGGAATAGGCTTGCATTTGCCTTCTCTCGCTCGTCCTGGAACCAGTAGTCAACGGCAAGCCACGGCTCATAGTTGATATGGCTAAGACACGGCAGCCCCGTCAGAATATCTGATAAAGCCTTTTCGGAGAGGCTTCGATAGAGCCTCTGGGTGACGAAAAGCTCGGAGATCACATTAACTCTGGGGAGTTCGAAATATGGATCATCGCAGAGAGACATCCAGTCGGTTTCAAGGAGGTTACCAAGGAGGCGTATTTTGGCGCCAAGAGACGAGTATCCATGCGGTTGCAGATTGCGAAGACGCCCGTGGTATCTTGGAGGTGTGTGATATAGTTCATCGCGAAATGAACTGGCACTCAGTTCAAGCGTGATTGCAGATCTTGCAGGCTCGACGCCCCAAGTAGAAAGATAATCAAAGAGCTCGTGGAGAGCGTCCGAAAATCTTGTGTTGTTTTTGAACTTGATATGTTCGCTTTCCGACAAACTGCGTTCACCGTGGGAGTACATCATCAAGTCCACGTGAAGTAAGATCTTGTGCACCATTGTTCTTCGGTAACCGCTGACGAACTCACTGAACCCATCAAAATTTGACCTCGGGTGAAATGGCCGAATACTCAACGTATGCCAAAGTATGGGTTCGAAGAATTCGTGCCAATGTTTCGACACGGCAGCCCAGTTGCCTACGAAACGCTTTCTAGTAGGCGAAACCTGCTTTTCCAGCTCTTCCATGATCATGAGTAGGATATCCGGTGGAAGTGTTGGAGACATAGGATTCGACCGAGAGGCTTCCAACCTCCAGCTCCTAGTTTCGGATCGTAATTTCATCGTGTTTGCCGTACAAAGACTTGTGCAAGAAAAGGATGGATTGTTAAAGGAGTTATGTGTGCAACTGGGTTTGGGCAGTCTCGAGCCGATTTTCTATGTCTTTTATGTTGAAAAGATTCCATTGGAGATAGATTCTATACGGCTTACACCTTTACGATAATTTTGTACGGCTGGTCTGGTGTTGTCAAGGTTCTCATCAAGTTATGAGCTATGGAGATCTCTAAAGGTTGCCCTTCATGGTCACGTCACCACATCGCGACGTTGGATTTAGCAACGGGTCCCCAAATGTTGCCAAGACACAAATTGACACAGAATCTTTGAACATCGTATTGATCGATACGCGCACAGCAAGCGGCAGACCGACGTGGAACTGATCAGAAGGTCTGAGTTCCGCCATGGCCCACCCAGACTGTGCTACCAATGCCCCTTCTATTTCTTTTGCATGACATCGTGTCGGAATTTTCCATAGGCAGTCTCAGAAAGGTTGTTGCCGTTGGATCGTTCGAGTTTCGGTGCATGGGCGGTTGACCGACCACGCAGGTACTGGTGGATGAACACCGCGTTGGGCAGACCTATGAGCTAGTGTCGGCGATACAATCGTTACCATTGCAATAGCCTGTCACAATCTTGAGCAATACAGGAAACCAAATGCAAGTCAATACTTATTCGCTCACACTGACTACGGCAGAAAGGAATCAAGTAGCTGCTACGAACATGCAGCAGGCTAGCATTTCTACCATGTGTCGTCGAAAAAGGACCTTTGCAGTATCAACGACGAAGTTTTCATGCAGCTGAAAAAGTGATGAGGAGGTCTCCGTGTCAAACTTTGTTTGTCAACGGGAGCTAAGTATTTCATGTTAGTAGCGTGGTTCCCTACTGCTTTGACAGACAATACTGATACTAAAGACTTTGCTTTGCTATCTGGGCGGATAATTAGGCTGACGGCCACCTATTTTAGTTATGATCCCTCTTTTTTTGATTCATCTGATGCTCCTTCTGTTATTGTTATCATTGTCTTCAATGTACCTTAGTTATCTTCATCGTCATCCTCGATATCCCGATCCTTATTATCCTAGTACCTTTCTTCCCTTCTAACAAACCTCAACTTGACACTTGAGATCAGAACAAGAACTGGTCACCGAGTTGCAAACTCATACCTAGTGGGTACATTCGCTGCGTAGAGTACAAAAAGAAAATTCAAACTTCAAATTAATAGTTGTTGAGTCAAATTTCCATTTCCAGAGACGTTCACGTGCTGCTAAGTATGAATCCACTACTGCCAGTCCGTCATTGTTACGCCAATGAGCACGGAGAGACAACAGCCTCATCCCGCTAGACCTTCGTTTCCTTCTCGCTGGACACCTCAACATGCATCATATCATCCCCCTTGACTTCTTGAACACTGCTCGTCTCGGTCGTCGTCTTGTACTTGCCCAACTTGATGTCACGTCGCCAGAGGTATTGACCGAGCATGAACAGCGCCCACCACGTTGCCACGAACGTCGTGTTGACGATGAAGCCCTTGCGCCATTTGGGAGCTGTGAGGATTGTTAGCAACAGAGCATTCATGAATTATCCAGTACCGTGCTCATTGAAGACCTACCTTCGACGACAGGGAAGACGGTAATGGGGTAAAAGCTGAAGAAGATCCAGCCGCAGGTCATCTAGGCTCAATCGTCAGAATGGCCATTGTGTTGGGATTCAAGAATTACTTACCATAGCACCTGTGGTAAATGCTCTGGCCTCGTTATCGTCCTTCATGACCATGTTGACCCATGGGAACAGAATCGGCGTAACACAGCTCGTGAGTCCGAGCATATAGTATACGGCAACTAAGAGAGAGTTTAGATTTAGATACGGAACATCCTGACATGGTAGATTACAAGGTGAAACTTACAGTGCAATCCGAGAGGAATGTCCCAGATCAACAAGCAAAGATTTGCGAAAAAGAGTACTGCAGCCACGACGCACATGACGCACCAAATTGGGTAGATCATGCAGAGCGAAGTTGCAAGAACCCCCGCAACGATTGCAATGGCCTGTACACCAGTGGGAATTGTGTTGATCTGAGCGACAGTCCAGGTGCCGTTTAGGTCCGCTTCGTGCTTCAGCCAAAGGGCCATCTGACCTGAGACATAGGAGGTACATTGGAAGCTATGGCATGTTAGCAAAGTAAGCTTCAACAACGCGAGGTAGAGACTCACAAGATATAAGTGAGGACGGCAACATAGAAGTGCCAGTGGGTGAAAACTCGCTTGAGCATCCTCTTTCCGATTTTCTTGCTCTCCTTCACACCATCATCCCTCATCCGCGCTTGCGCAAGCTTCTGCTCGGCCTCGGTAAGCCACCAAACCTTGGGGCTAGTAGGCAGACCGGGGAAGAGAAAGTATCCCGCAATCGAGATCGGAAGGCTGATGACACCGTCGATGATGAACAGCCATCTCCAGCCAGACATGCCGTGAACGCCGCTCAGGTTGTTGTACGCGGCGGCCTGAAGGTATCCTCCGAACATAGCGCCAACATTCGAGCTCACGTACCAGACCCCGGCGCGCTTGAAAAGCTCGTCGCCTCGATACCAGGAGGTGAGGAGGTATATTGCGCCAGTGGCGGCGGGTGTCTCGAGGACGCCGAGGAGGAAGCGGATGCCGTAGATGTCATACTCGTTGCGCAGGCGACACTGGACGAAAGTGACGATTGACCACAGGCACTCCATAGTCGGGAGATAGTAGCGTGCGATGTGCGGTCGGGAGATGATCATCATTGAGGGGATCTCGAAAACGAGATAGCCGATGTTGTAGAAGGTGCCGAAGAGAGAATATCTGGGGCACATGTCAGTTTCCTTCACAAGAGATTGGCGTTTTGGCCATACTGATTTCCTTTCAAGCCAAGTTCTTCCTTCATGCCGGAAACATATGCGTGGTTGATGTTGGCGGAGTCAAGCCACTTCAAAAAGACTTTGCGGTGTCAGTCCCACTATCCAAATATTATGAGCGCAGGGAGACTTACACATCAAGCAACAGAGGCTGAGCAGAACGCTGTCCAACTGCCAAATGTTAGAAAAGTCGAAGCTACCACATACTTAAGCAGCCTACCTTGCGGAGCAGCCTCTTCTCTTCTTTGGAGTAGTGGCTAGGATACCAGTCGAAAATGTACAGCCAGGCTACCCAAAGAGATCGTGTTCGCGGCTTGGCCGTGGAAGAGCTCACTACTGGCTCATTGTCGTCTAGCGGTTTCGTGATGGGGACCGGATCGGCAGTCCCCGCGGTTCTGTCGAGACTGACTCTGTCCCCCATGTTGGGATCTGTCAGATGGCTGTTGTTGTGTTTCGGTCAAGTTATCTTCAGCTTCAAGACCCAGGAAGGTCGGGGTTGGGAGGCGTCTTGCGGGCTTATTGAATCAATGTTGAGTGACATTCTGACGATGCAACGCCGTATTTTATATCCATTGAAGCATGCCCAGCCATCACACCAGCCTTGCATTGACTGGGTTGCAATGGAGTAGTCCGTGGGCTCGTTCAGGCTAGTGAACCAACAGACAAGTCATCTCGTGCTGCATGCAGATGTTGTCTGTCCCCTTAATTCCCCCGCAAATCCTCCCTCAAAAAGAGATAGGCCTAGATGCGGGGTGTGGAGAACCGGGGAAGCAAGTCGCGAGCCACTACCGGGGGCTGCAAGACCATCAGTCGGAGGAATTCCCTCGGGGATGTGGACCATGTTTACCCCGACTACTGCATGTAAGTCCAACGATCGACAAAGCATACATCGCGAACTGATTGAACCGAGAGATCGGCCGTGATCCGACGAGAGGAATCGCGAACCTTCGCTTCCGACGGGCCGTATATCGTATTCGTCTCAAGTTGCAATGATTACCAATGGCGCAATGTTGAAGGGCTGAGTACTAAAGTACAACGATGGCTCTACAATTGAACACCTCAACTTCACGTACACATGACCTGATTGACGGATTCTTACCATCTCTGCGTCATCATTGAAATTTCCCATCATGTTCGAACCTACTGAAATGAAAGGCGCATGCGTCCATGAGAACCCACAAACATACCCACGGGACTTGGAGCCGCGTCGACATGGCAGCATATCTTCTGAACCACCGACATCACCCACACAAGAGGATCTCTCCATGGACCAGACTAGCGAGACCTCATGGTCCGAGGCTGCCGAGCCTGAGGAGCTGGGCTCCTCACAACCACACTCTACCCTCGCAGCCCGCCTTCATGAGCTCTTCGAAGAAAACATCACGGCCAAGATCTGCCGCACCGCAACTAAATCTCTCGAAGACAAGCTCGCCTACAACTCGAATGAAGTGCGCAAGACCCCGATAGCCTTCCCAGAGATCGTGCCACAAGAGGGTCCTCACGCCGGCCTGTACGAGTTCCGCGACCCGGACTTCTGGACATGCGGCTTCTTCCCAGGGACGCTGTACGCCCTATTGGAGCGCACCATCAAGTACCCGCAGACGATGCATCTTCAGGACGCAGGGTCGCAGCTCGACGTTGCAAGCCTGCGCGCGCATCTGCAGAACTTATGCAGCATCTGGGCTGATCCCCTGCATGGCATGGCCAGCAGGACGGATACCCACGACATTGGTTTCATCATCATGCCCGCTCTTCAGCGAGACTGGGAGCTCACAGGTAATCAGAGGAGCCTTGAGTCGATTGTTCGGGCTGCTCATAGTCTCGCAACACGATACATCCCCTCTGCGGGCGCGATTCGTAGTTGGGACTGTCTCCTGAAAAAGGACATCACGGTCACCGACATGAACACCAATCTCCTCGCCATCATTGATAGTCTCTGTAACCTCGATCTTCTCTACTACGCATCTACGCATACTGGAGACACGTCTCTAGCAGACATCGCAACCACGCACGCCCGCACGCTTCTCCGCACCCACTTCCGGCCAGAATCTGCCAGGACCTTGGCCAAGGACGGGTACAAAGGCCAGCTTTACTCGACATGCCATGTAGCCAACATCGATCCAGCCACGGGAGATCTGAAATGGCGATGGACGGCACAAGGGTACTCCAACGATTCGACCTGGAGTCGTGGGCAGGCATGGGCCATTCTAGGTTATGCTCAAACATACCTATGGACAAAGGACAGGGTGTTCTTAGAGGCGGCGTGTGGGGTGGCAGAATACTTCTTGTACAGAATCGACACCGCACCAACTTGCGTGGATGTTCCAGTCTTCAGTCACGATGACATCCTAGCTGATGGTGCAGAGAGGCGGCCCAAGGGTCGCAGAGTGCCCCTCTGGGACTTCGATGCTCCTATTCAAGATCCATCGAACCCCCTTCGAGACTCTTCGGCCGGCATGATCGCCGGAAATGGCATGCTTCTCCTCTCTCAGGCCCTCAGAAGCGCTCAACAGCACTCCCTAGGCCGCAGATTCTTCGACGCGGCCATTGAAATCGTTACCGATACCATCAACCACTCACTCGCCACCGAGAAGGCTCAATTCATCAGAGACGGCATCCATAGAGGCATCAAAATAGAGGACTCGGTAACCGGAAAGTACTTTGACGGCATCCTCAAACATGGCACTGCAAACAACAACGAGAACGCGAGGCGCAGGTACGCCAATCACGGTCTTGTGTACGGGGACTACTACCTCGTGGAGTTCGGAAACAGACTTTTGAACATGAGCATGGTATAGACACTGCTGTTGATGTACAAGTAGGCAGAAATAAAGATCATTACAAGTTTACCACCCTCCGCCTTCATATTCGGTGCCAAAGATGCCGTCGTCGAAACTGATGATCCGGTCCATGTCGACAAATTGCTGGTCGAGAAGCATTTGGGATATGCTGCTGAGTTCGCCGCTTCCTACGCTACTTCTGTGAAAGACGTTGGACTGAGCCATTGTCTCCATCTCCATTGCTGGTTGAACGACGATTCCTCCCGAGTTTGGGTTGGAGTTTACAACTGGAGGAGCGAACTGCTGAGCGACCACTATACTGTCGGCGTTGGGAGCCATGCCCTGTCGTGGCTCTGTCGCCGGTAACAAGTTAGGATCAACTATTGCGGTATTCGATCTATGATTGGATCTGCTTTGGTTTGCGACACCATTCCGAGCTGGTTTCGGAAACACCGGCGGGTCCTTGGAGCTGGTGTGGTCAATCTCGGTGGTGTACCCCAAAACGTTGATGTTGTATGATGCATCCTCGCGACATCGAGAATGCATCTCGGTGAGTTTTCGAGAATACTTGCCAGCCAGGTTGTCCCTAGCCGGCTCTAGGCTATGAGGACCAGCCCACCGACCAGCCATCTCGTCGAGGATCTGGACCAGACACCAGAACTCGGGCACCAGCTCCCCGCCAAGGTCGTACCTCCATCGAAGGAGCAGCACCCTGGCAGCCACGTAAATGCAAAACGCGAACTGACTAGACACCGGCATCGTCGGTGGGGCGTGCTTCAGATAATTCTCCGCAATGATGGCGATCTCGACAGCTGCAGCCTGGCACGTGTCGATGCTCAAGATGCTCGGCAGCCGGGCCCGGAAAGCCCATTCCCGCGGCGGGAACGCGATGAGCTGGTGGAGCAGGATCATGGACGTGTTATGCGTGACGTGCGCCAGCGTGAGGTTCGGGTCCATGCGCGTCGACTGGCGGGCCATGTTCGCCTTCCACTTCTGCGGGAGCAGCATCTTCCAGTGCACCAGGCGGAGATCGAGCTCCTTGAAGCGGGTGAGCCAGCTGCTGATGTCCCGCTGGTCTCGCATGTTGACCTTTTGCTGGAGGAAGTAACTCGTGACGCGGCTCAGAGACTCGGTTGCTTCAATGCAGTAGGCGAAGGCGCCGACGGTGGACATGTCGACGCTGGGGATCTGGGCCCCGGGAGAGGTGCCGGCCTCGGATGGCGTTTGGGTTTCTTCTTCGGTGTTGATTTGGGATGTTTGGGCATAGTGTGAGGGGATGAAGGCGATTGGGTTTCCGATGCGCCCGGCGGCTTTGTCCCATATGCCGAAGTAGGGGGTGACGACTCGGTCTTCTTTTCTCCAGAGCACACCGTCGCATGGGAGGCGGCAGTGGACGTCGTCGGAGGTGAGGCTGGTGTTCCAACCCATGGTGACGGAGATGAGACGGTCGAGTTTAAATACGTTCCAAAAGACCCGTCTCCGCTCCTCGGCTTCAGTCCAGTTGTCTGGTGGCGGCAACGAGACGAAAGGTTGGGATAGGGAAAGTCTCTCGGCGTCGTCATGCTCGATTGTCAGTTGGAGGTACTCGACGGTCCGTGTAAGTGAGCCTACGAGAGACCAGGCTTGGGCCGCCTCGCCGCTTCCGATCTTTAAGGGCTAGTCAGCTATAGTCGCGAGCAGTGAGCAGAGAAATCTTACATCGTTGAAGGCGATGATGATGAGAGCCTGTAGACTTTCAACTGTGAGGGTTTTCATTGCTTGAGAAACGACCCAGTCTCTTGCCATCACTCGCTGCTGCGGAGCTCCAAAGGCGGTCGTGGCAGTATCCTCATCAGCAATATACCGGGAACCGGCTAAAACCATCGCGTGTAACACCACCCTCAATGCTTCGAAATCATGAGGCTCAGCAAGTCGTCGACGGAATGTAGCTTCATGTAAAATAGGAATCCATGGATGGACATGTGAGAAATAAGCCTGGAAGACGATCTGCAGAATGTCTTCTTCCGGTAGTGCTAGTATATTGCTACCATGTGAAGGATATGCTTCATCATGACTCTCGAGGCGACGCCGCTTTGTCCGCGGGGGCTGGTCATCCGCCCCTTGGTGATGTGCTCCGCTGATTGGGCCAGAGGCTTTGGTGTTGAACTTTTGCAGCTCTTTAGCGAAGAATGACATGATGCTGTAAGCGTTCTTCTCAAGCTCGGTGGTACTGCCAGGGTAATCTCGATTGGGAGAGTTATCCGACCCAGACTGTCTTTGTTCTCGGTCCGGGGGATTCGCCCTCTGTTGATGAACCGTTCTCTCCAAGGCATCTGAAACAGCTTGTCAACTATTGAAATGTGTTACTGAGGTCAAGAGACTGACCCAGTCTGCGATGGAGATTTTCAATAGCACCGGCCTTCATCCCGGGTTTGGATCTCTTGGACTCATACACGCATTCACTTCCTACAACGAATCAGTTACCCAAATTGGAAGCCCAACGTCTTGAGAGACCCACCCGTTTTGCGGCACTGCTGACAATTCGGCACCTCACGGGAGCATCGTAGCTTGCGGCGCCGGCAGCAGTTGCAAGCCAGGGCCGCCGCGGCCTCCGAGGCACCGCCGGAGTCGTCATGGGCCGCGTCGGTGGCTTCGCCTTGGTGGCCGAGCTCTGCGCCGTTATCCATGATCAGACATTGGACGAGACAAGCCGACTGACTGGAACCACAGATTGCGGGTTTCTGGTAGTTGGGCCCGCGTGATGTAGGGCGGAGGCTGGTGTAGTTATGGTTCCATGTCAGATTGCCCGTCTCCCGCTCGAGATGCCCCGAAAGGCCGAGGCGCCCCGCAACGCTCCCCGCATTTCCAGCGGCATGGGTCTCCGGGTCTGTGGGGTGACAGTCCGGGGAAGCGGAGAGAAGGGATTAAAATGTCCAGAAATTGGTGCTTAAGATTTTTTGAAAGAGATACATCGTACGTACAAGATTGAGCCGGATGCTACACGGTTTATATGTTCAAGTTGGTCTTACACTGAGTCGTAGAACCTCCATTTGGCCGTGTAATCCGGGGTCAGCGGCTTGTTCAGCACAAGCGCTCGCAGCAGTTCGATCGGCATCGTGTTTGCTCTCAAGATCTTGTCGTGGAGCTCCTTCTCGCCCATCAATCCCTTCATCAATGCCTCCTCCCTTAGGCCGTACATTTGGAACGCTCCCAACATATATCCCGCCTGGTAAAGTGGCGAGTATTCGCCTCCAAATGATCTCGTGACCTCGCCCTCAGCATTGGAACGCTCGTGTCCGACCCAGTCGACGAGCAAATCAACACACTCTTGAGGAGTCATCTCACCCAAGTGATACTTCAGTGAGAAGATGATTCGAGCGCATCGATGCATGCGCCAGAAGAGGGTACCAATCTTGTCCTCGGGGGAGACGAAGAAGTCGCCTCTATTCCAGAAGACGAACTCCCAATACATGGCCCAGCCCTCTACAAAGAACGGTGTCTCGAAGAGCTGCCTGTACGGGTGGTGGCGCTTTGCCATGAACAGCTGAAGTCGGTGTCCGGGGATGAGCTCGTGGAAAGCTGTCGCCCGAGAGAAGTGGGGGTTGTTTCCGCGCATCACCATCATCTTCAAGTCGTGATCCATCTCTGCGGTGGGATAAGAGACAAGAATCGACGGTCCGCCAAGGAAGAATGGAGACTCCTTCTGGCGCTCCGCTGAGATCATGAACATGCGCCATGTTTCAGCGGCGACGCTGGGGACGGTGACAAGGTCATGTTTGGTAACGAAATCCTCGCCCTCGCGAGCCAGCTGTCGAACAAGCTCTGGTTGTTGGCCAGGTTCAACATAACTGTTCTTGACATACTCGAGTGCAGCCTTCCAGTTGTCGCCAAACCCCGGTGAGGCGTCGTCAGCTTGATCACTGTTAAAAGAGATGTCAGTTCCTATTCTGGAAATCATATCGGTGGTACCTACGCCGATACGGTGGAATCCGGTCCAATGGAGCCCACTTGGTCGCGTTTGATGCTCCTTGAAGCCTTCTTCATTTCCCTTTCGCACCAATCGTACTGTTCTTTGGCCAATTTGAGGAGCTCCTCGGGCGTGTAGGGGATCATTTCCGCTTCGAGCTCGTTGAGCAGGCCATCGCGCCCAATCGGTTCGACTGCAGCACGGATAGACCCGGGCCCGGTTTTCTCATTCAACTTGGCCTCCAATGCCGCTTTTATTCCCGTGAGGGCTTCATCGAAGCTCTTCTTTGGTGCCTCGTTCCACCAGGGAAAGAGTGGGTCGTATGGAGAGTAAAAGCCATGAAGCTCGTCGACGTGGCCACGAAGCTGGTCAACAGTGCTCATGGCCCTGGCAAAAGTTGACTCATTTGCCTTGATGTCGTTCGATAGGATGGCCTTGGTTGTTTCCTGGACTTTTTTGGTGGTATTATTGAGGATCATGGCGGTCTGCTTGCTGTCGACGGGGACTAGACGCTGACGGTCCTCGACCATGTCGATGATGGTCTGGGTGAAGGGCAAGACCGGGCTAACTTGCTCATCTCGCTGGCGGTCTAGTTCCAGTACACGTAGGTTTCGTCTGAGATAGTTTCGAAGGAGTAAAAAGTCCACCTTATCCTCTTGATTATAAGTATCAAAGGGCGCCTCAAACAAATCCTCGAGTTCTTCTGAATAGTACTTCTTCAATCGATGGTACCGGGTTGGCGAGAACTTGATGTTGTAGAATTTGAATAGGTTCTTCTCATCAAAACTGACCCGCTGGATGCGCTCCGTCATTGACTCCGACTCGGCCGTGGCGGCCACAGTCGGGGCATGCTGTCCATCATTGAGATCAACCCAGTCGCCGTCCGAGTGGCTGGACGGGTTCAGGCGCACGGGCAAAGTATGAGTCGCCATGGTTGATGGAGATTGCGTGACAGATCGAAAGCCAAGAGCTGAGGTTGAGTACCAAGACGTTGGATCCGGCAATGACGATGACAGATGCGGGGGAGGAGAGGTTAAAGACAAGACACGGAGGCGGGACAAGAAACTGTGGGCGTCGCGGGGTGGCTTATCGGTGCCGGGAGGGATGCCGGTGTCTGGGACAGGGGCGGGAGAGGAAATTGGTGGGGCCGATAGCGACCGTAGTGGGAAGGTGCGCTGAAGCGAAGCATTTTTGGCAGCAGCGGACCCCCTGTAATTCTCCTCGTCGTGCTTATCACGGACCATCTGGGGAAACCTTCTTCGTGAACCCCCGAACTCACCGCCGATGTTCGGTCGGCTGATCCGGCCGAGATAGCCCACCCCCTTTGCGACGTCTTCATCCTTCTCACATGACTTCGCGGCCATCTCGAGTCAAGTGAGGCTCAACGATTTTACTTCTCCGGCTTCCTGAAGGTCCCCACAGGCATCTTTGACCTTCATGTTGTTCCAGCCCCTTACTGAGAGGTGGCGCGTTGAAGTTGATGATGGCGCCCTGGTACACACAGGACGTGAAGCTTTCACCTTGTTTCCATACGACTGAGCGCGGAATATTTCATCCCCATCACACGTGTTCTGGTGTCTTTGGCTTTGACAAAAACATGAGATTCGAGCTGATTGGGCTACACGGCAGGTCGCGTTCTCGAATCTCGGGACCGAGAAGAGCGAGCGCTTCATTCAGGGGCAAAACCAGGCAGCACAGCCCGAATGCCTGGTTTCCTCCTTGCTTTTTCAATGTGATTTTCGATCCATTGGCCTCGCCAACACAAACAAAAACCAGCGCAATTCCAAAGTGCTCAAGCTAGCAAATAGCATCATGCAAGGATCGAGATCCCAGTACGGGTACAACTCCCCGCCTCATTCGCCCGTTCTGGGCCCGGCTCGCGGCGGAATCCCGTCAGGGGGAGGCACAGTCCCCTTTTGGACCTCCACGAAATCCGTGTTATTCAAGCATACCTTACAGAGTACAGGATTACGGACTAGCCCCGTTTGCTGTGGCCGTCACACGAGAATTGCTTTATTCATCAAACGGATGAATCAGCACCAAAAATACATGAATACGGGATCCGTCGGCAAACTTCTGAGACAGATCATCTCAGCCACATCGTCACGAAAACCGTTGAGGTGCCCGTGAAAGGATGCTCTAAATCACCGCTAGGACGATTTCCGAGATGAGGTGGCGCGCGAATCCCGTCGCGCGACCCGCTTAGCACCGTCTAGGGGCGCCGCTGGGCCTCGAGCTAAGCCGTAAGGCAGGTGTTGATCTTGGGTTGAAATTCTTGATAAATGGATCTCTGGAACGATGAGCAGAACATCTTCCCCTTCTCTCTATCCATCCTCGACTGCCTGTCATCTAATATCTGAAGACTCCATCACCGGATCACTACACTCTTTTACATCCAAATCAAGCATAATCACTTTCGTTAATACCATTAATACAGCACACCCAATTCAACCAACTTTCAACATGTCTTTCAGATACCTCGCCACCATGGCCATCCTGGCCTCCACCGCTCTGGCCAAGACCGACCTCACCGGTTGCACATCCTCCGACTCCGTCGTCACGCCTTCCGGCGGCGGCACCCCCTACGCAACCCGCGTCTACTACGTCCCCGACACCGGCGAGATCTGCGCCGCTCTCGACTGCGGCGGCGGCCGCGCCCCTCCCAAGACGACCGTCCCGGGATGCCCTTCCTACGAGGGCACCGAGACCTACTCCCCGTCCTTCCTGCCCCTCAAGACCACCTCCGCCGTTGTCGCCCAGTCTACCCAGGCCACCGTCACGACGATGACCCCCAAGGGTGACTCGACTGCCTCTGCCTCCGGCTCCGCATCCGTCACCGCGGCCGCCGACAGCAGCTCCATGAGCGGCAGCAAGTCGGACGACGTCCAGGTCCAGACCGACACTCTCCTGACCGTCACCAGCTCCACTGCGGCCACCACCGCTGCACCCGGCAACGGCACCATTGCTACGACTGGCAGGTCTGGCAGCAGGACGACTGGCACCGGTGCTGGTGCCTCCGGCTCGCCTACCAGCGTCCCCAACGGCGCTGCCGCCGGCGTGTCCAACATGTTCGGCCTCATGGCTGGCGTTGCTCTTGGTGCGGCTGCGTTGCTGTAAATGGCTAGCTTGGAAAAGGTGGTTGTATTATGAGACCTCCGCGATTTCTCGCGAAGTACAGGTCTCGGTCCTTGTTCATAGACATTGTAATCGGATAATACAAAAAGACCCAGTTACCATTCTACCCCACCTGTCCGCCTGCATAGAAGTTCGGGACCCGTTGCAGCAGTGATCCGTACTCCTGGTCGGCGTTCGTGAACTCCCATCCCCCGTCGAGCCCGTTGCTCCGCCCGTGTTCCAAGCGGAAGCCGTATACGTTGGTCCATGACCACTTGTCGATCTTTCTTGCCTTGGGGTAAATCTCGAATGTGACGAAGCAGATTGCGCTCTCTGCGGAGACGACCTCGACTCTTCCGCCGCGAGGTCTGATGTCGGTGCCGATGCCGCTCTGGTTCAGCAGTCGTAATTGCTTGAAGACGCCGGGGACGGGGTCATCTGGCAAGACTGTGACCTCCCCAAGGGTGAAGCTCGTAAAGTTCGTCAGGTAGAAAGCTGCTAACGAGGCAGCGACTTCTTGCAGGGGAACGGAGGCGTTTCCGCCCTTTTCTGTGGCAAGGCCGTAGGCTGTGATGGCGGCGCGGGCTGCTTCTCTGATGTTTACCATTGCAGATAGTTTGCAAAAATTCTTGATAGTGTGGTCTTATAGATCAAATTACACGGAGAGCATGGACACGTCATGAGAAAAGAATGATGAATGACGCAGGAACAACACACATGCGGACCTCTAAGGGCCCCAGGCAGCTCCAACAGGCGACGTCGAACAGCTCTTGCATGCAATCTCAAAAGTCAGACTCGACGTCGTACAATTATTGCAGAAAATGAGTGATTTAACCAAACCCACCCCGCAGATCATGACATGGAATACGAAAATGCGAAGCGGTCGCTATTTACGGTTCGGCAGTCCTCGCGCGCCGACCGTCCGCACGAAAAGTCCGGCCACGAGTCTCTAACGGACGTCAAACGGATCTGTTCAGGGTTGCTTATTACGAGCTAATTGGGCAAGCTTTTGCCAAGGAGCGCCCTGCGCGGCCAAGCTTTTTCTCTCCGCGGGGTGGGTGGTTCGAGAACGACCAGACTGCTGGCGCTGTGTGTTCATCGCCGTTGGCTCGCGGGGAATGCATGTGAGATGAACTCAACCGTTTCAAGAGGGAGAGTTTCCCTCGGTTTGCTAGAGTTTTGCGCCTGTCGTGGGCTATCCCGTTCAGCTCGACCATGACTAAAGCATGAGGTGAGCAGAGAGGTAACTTGTGTTGAGGTGTCCCCTAACCCCGCGCTGCTTTCCGACCCAGGAAGAAAGACCCGATGCAAGACAACAATTAGCGCCACCAGCCTGTGAAGCCGCGGAAGAAGGCAAGGGGCTCATGGATGCCGGCCCCGAGTCAGCACGGTCATGAACTATCCGATCGGCCCTTCACCGGGTTGACACCGGAGGACCCGCACAATCGGGGCCGCAATGACGGAGGTGCCAGCGGAGACTTGACCCACAGCCCCGAAGCATCCCATATGACAATTTCCTGGCCCCAATTGAGATTCCTCGTTTAGAATGATGTGATTTTGAGACGGACTTGATGCTTTAAGTGGTGTTTGAGAATATTTTAAGATTTTTCACCTAGAATATTAATAACATGTAAAAACGTTCAGTTTTGGTTGGTGTCGTTACCGCTCTTCTTCAGCGGCAAACGTTGGCCGAGATGGCCACAGCAATCATTCAAATGTTGTTGGTTGGACTTTTGCGTTCGATTGGCATATAGCGATTATTGCCCAATCAGAATTGCCTGGATTGTCGAGGCCGCAGCACCAACAGCAGAGACCACGATCAAGCTGCTCTGTAAGCGCCGTGATCGTTATCCAGGGATGGGCGCAGCGGCAAAAGTGGACACATGACCATGCGGTCCTTTCTCGTTCACACGCATCTATTTCTCCCTTATCTACTCCATGACTTCTTGTAACTCTGTTCCAACAAAGTCTAGACTTCATCATTCTCACAATGACTCTCATTACCGACATTCCATGCGAATTGATCGCTTCCATACTGCGGAACCTGGACGACTTGCGGTCGCTCACACCAGTTCTGCTCAGCTGCCGCCATATATACTCCTCATACAAGCAGAGCCCGAATATAGCAGCGGCAATCCTCCGTAATAAAGTTACGCCAGCTCTCCTCCCATACGCAGTAGCTGCTTCGGAAGCCTACGGTCTACCCCGGCCACGCGATGGCGACACGATCCAGGGCTTGCTCGACGCCCTGTATCAAGAACCATTAAGCCTAGCTAATCGGGTGACATCGTTACCGACGACTACGTTAATGGGAATGAGCCGTACGCATGACATGATCCTCGCTTTGACGACGGGCTTTGCGAATGATGCATGGAACCGTCTTCGACAGGCCAATGATAGCTTGCCTCTGACCGTCTCGTTATCAACTACAGAGAAATTTCGCTTCCACAGGGCTTTCTATCGTATCCAAATATTCTACGGGCTCTTTACCGGTAGATCGTCCAACCCAAACACGGTATTTGAGGAAAGCGTCAACAGTTGGTTCTTTTCGAAACATCCATTATGGGAAAATGAGCAGCTTGGCTGCATCCACGATTTCCTCGAAGCAAGACTTGCGAAAGGTGAGACTCAGGAATATGGGTAGAGTTCTCAAATGTGTATCGATAATGGCTAACTATCAAAAACAGCATCGATTGACGTACTTGCCCATAATATCATCTTCGGGGAGTTCTCCGTTGACTATCTAACTGGAGGCGAAGAGAACATTTATCGGCAGATGTGGGTCAGTACAAATCCTACGCGCGACCGGCTTCGCTATTAGAGTACTTTGCTGACAACTAACTCAACATGAAGCTCTCTCAGGGGATTGGATTCATCCATCAACTGATTAATGAAGAATCCTACGATGGCAAGAGAGATATGCTCACGGAGCACCCAGACATCGGCGTGGCAAATTTTCCTGGAGCTTTAGCTAACGTGCTTGGGACGTACCAAGGCGCCAACGCCTTCGTAAGGCCCGAAGAAGAGCTACTCTACGAAAATGTTAGCCAAGTGACCGATGAGGACCCTGGCCAGGGACCCTTCAATTCATGGTACGCTGCTCATGAAGGTGCGCCATTATATGCTGGCCTAATGCTCCATGAACATCAGTTGCTTCGGGATTGTGCATACGTCCTTTGGGACTGGGATCGGCTGGAGAAATACAACCTGCTCAAGGCTTTTGAGAAGCTTTCAGATGCGAGACCGTCTCCCGATGAGAGGGAATATGAAGAAATGCATGAGTCTTTTCATGAGAGATCTTTGATTTGGCAAAAGGGGGGCTCTGGGTATTGGAGCAAAGGTGACACCAGCGGCATTTCGTGGCCAGAGAAGTCTACAGCGAGACAATTCTAATAGCCATTGGTTATGTAACTAGACTGAAAAGGTATAAAAGAGTCCTGTAAAGTCAGTTGTGGTGACTTCGTCACTTGGTGGCGGTTGAGCTGGTCGAAAATGGTGCACTTACACGTTATGAAAGCCTTCGTTTGAATACACTCTAGGCAGGTAAAGAGCATTCTTGAGCAGCTGATATAAATGACACCAGCAGCCGGTAATTCTCTCAATTGCCTTTTGACGAAATTGTTGGCTAGACTTAGATAAACTCCCACAAAGTTGTCCCGTGATTCCTCCTCACCACCGTCTTCCTATCCTCGTCCACGCAAAGCACCATCAAAACTTGAGACCAATATGGCGACAGGAGCTGATAGCCTCCTTCCGGATGCTCTCTGGGCGTGAAGAGCTCCCAATTGTTGAGTTCTGTGGCCTTGGCACGCAGAGTTTTGTCACCGTCATGTCCCATGTACCTCCCCGATGACGGATGTTGGAAACCAAAGTAGCCGTTCTTCTCGACGCAAAGCCACTGGGTTACGGTAATTTGTGCCGTGTCTTCGATGTCTTTTATGACAATTAGGTCGTCGACGAGAGTGATCGCTCGGTTCGTTTGCTTCTCGATGATTCTATAAGTGTTTCCTGGCCAGGGAATCGCATGTCGGTCGCTCCAGAGACTAGCTGTAGTATTGCACTCGGTTGAAGGGGTGAAGACCGTGGAATTTGTAGAAAAGTCATCAGAGGAATGCATTTTTTTGGTTTATATTATTGAGCACCATGATCAGGAATGACGAGAGCCTCAGATATTCAAGTTGAAAGGTTATGCTTAGGTATTTGAGATGATTCTGAAGGCCGGGATCTTGGAGAAATCATGTGTGAGGACACATGGGGTTATTGGGCTTGATGTGGATGTGTATCAGGCAAGGTTTGGAGAAACTACTGCCCACTATCAGTACGGTGGCAGGCAGGCAACGTGTGGATCTGGTAGGCCAGCTAGGAATGCCAGTTGTCGGCCTCCTGCAGACAGTTCACCCAGTGACGATGGGTTTCAACTTCGGGCGCAGGATTTCCAGGTCGCGTGTGTTGGGAGTTCGTTGCCAATGGTGGCCGGTAACTGGTCGACCTATTGAAGAGACCCCGTCATTGTCTCGTACTTGAGTTTTATTAAAGGCGTACGTAAATCTTCCCATTACCGTGTCTCTCTCGATTGTCGGCCTCCCGCGCACAACGACGAGAGCTAATGTTTTTTTCGGTCAGAGATGTGTGGTATCAGTCATCTCTTATGCATCTTTGCGTCAAATGTCTGAATCCCAGACTTGTTCCTTCTCCTCGTCACTCTCTGTCCACACAATACGGCTCGTGTCGCCTTTTCTCCAATAGCCCCTGCCTCCCTTTCGTCAAATCTTTGAGCGCTGGAAAAATGACTTACGCATCTCTTTGAGTCCTTTAGGACGATAATTTGAACGCAAAACCATGGGAGGGTTTCTCCATAAGCCGAGGAAGTGATGCTTCTTGACTCGGGCCCAGTCCCAAAATAAACAAGCACACTCTCAATACCAGTCATTGCCATCAATCAATAGACCTCTGGTACCACTCGTGGTCAAACTGGCAGCGAACCAAGACTCGCGAGGACTCTGATCACGATCCATGTCTTCCTTGCGAAGAACACATGAAATGAGTCCCTTTTTGGTAGTGTTGATTTCTCCGTCATGACCGGGCCACCTGACTTCGATCAAGCCAAGTGCCGGATGTTCATTTACCGAGAACTGAGCACCCGCGTCTTCCAGTACCTTAGGAAAGTTGACTGTACAACCTAGGTACTGCTCAAGCAATCTTTTCTTAGAATCGTGATCATCTTCCGTCACCAAGTCATGAATGAACTCGACTCCTGCAGAAAGCTATTTTGATCAGGGTTTGACGCAGTAGAATAAGTCCTGTGAGTAAATACTTACCCAAGTCTGTCTAGTATCATTGCCCGCCCAAGGTGTGAGGTAGTCGACCTTACGAAAACCGAACTCGACGTCGTGTGCGAGTACATCACAGGAAGCTGGGGAAAAGGTTGATTTAGTGAGAATCTGTGCCTGGCAGTACAACCATCAGATTAATGCGTATCTTTTGCGAATTTCATCTCGAGAAAGTGGTATGCGCAGACGATCTGCTCATTCTCCCAAGGCGAATGCCGTGAGAAGAACCAATCATGCCACATGTCGTTGGGCTCTACCAGACCTTCAAAAAGGGCGTAGAAGATTTCAAGGCGGTAGAAGGCCCGGCGAAAACGATCGCGCTCAGTCGGCGACAAAGTTATTGCCCCGGGTAGACTCCCGTCATTCTCACGCAAACGGCCCCAAGCAAGTTCGGCAAATTCGGTGGCGAACCCATTGATCACATTATATTTGGCCTCCAAGAACAAAAGACCATAGGAGCCTGAACTCAAGCCGATGAACCGGTAAAATGTTTTCACTAAGAAGCTTGGTCGCTCAAAGAGTGCATCGAGCAGCATGCGGATTTCGTTGGGAGCATTGCCGAGCCTATCGGGGTCGCTGAAAGGCTCCATTCCATCGTCGGAGACTGTGTCATAGTCGGGAAGTAAATCGTTGGCATCGGAAGATTCTTCGGCGTTGTCAAGAGGTTCTTCGGCGTTGTTAAGAGGTTCCCCGGGGCTATCGAGAGAATGTGTATGGGATTCGTCATGGGAATTTTCAGAGTCGCCAAGAGATGAGTCGTCGGGCTCGTTGTCATATCCCCAAAGTTCCAGACATATCTTTGAATCGTCGTGACATACTCCGCACAGCTCCAAAGCCGCTACGTAGGGCAAGATGACTGGTCAGATATTGCGATCAAAGATTGCAACGGCAATCTCCTCTCTTTGCTGGACGAATGCATAGAAGCGGCTCCAGCTGTGCAGAGCTGAGACCAGTGAGTGAACGCTGCCAAGGTTCCGCAGGATGGACTTTATGATCTCAGTTGGTAAGTCTGTGATGCGAGCCATCGTGGATCAGCAATGTGAGGTTGATGGTGTAAATCGATTTTGGGATTCTAGGCACGGATGGAATATGAAGGATGTTCGGGTTCGACAAGGTTGTTCACCAGGGTCGTCGAAAGTGTTTATACGCAGCAGCAGACGGTTATCAGGCCCTATGCATGTGAAATCCCCGCTAGGATCATAACCTTCGTCTCCAAGTGGACGTCTAGGCGCATTGCCAGGATACCCAGCTGTTGCAAAACCCAAAACCTCGAGCGCCTCACTCACAGCTTCCAAAGGTTGTCACTGAAGCAGTCCAGTGAGGTTGCCTTTTTCGTCTGATGACGAGATGGCCCCAAAAGTAGGTGGACCCCTGGAAAAGGCGGGTCCATTTCCGCGATAAGATAAGGAAAGAGATTGAACCGCGGATTTGCCGCGCGCCCAAAAAATTGTCACTCCGAGCTTGGTCCGTGTTCGTCATTCCATCGCATTCGGCACCGCGTCAAGCTCTTTGCATCGCCAAATTCTCCACGACCACCGAACGAACCGCTTGCCTCTCCTCGGCCGACGATTCGACCGCTTCGAACGAACCCTTCCCGACCGACGACGTAACGTTAAAACACATTCGCCATGGATCACACGCGCGACCCCTGCCCTTGGGTTATCCTGAACGGTTCGCCCCTCCTCAACACCATGACCAAATGTCGTGATGCTAACAGCCAACGCAGATTTTGGTGGTGCTTTCGCTATGGGAGGTTAGTCTTCCGCCCTTTCTACCCCGAGCCTTTCCCTCCGAAGCTTTGCGACAACTGCGACAGCTTCCACGAGCCGGGTTCGAAAGCTGCCCACCCAGCTCTCTCGCTTGCATACTTCTATCAGGGCTCGGGGCGATTTGATAAAACGTACTGACATATTTGAAAGCGATTGGTGGAACACTCTGGCATGGTAGGCCCACTGGCTTGATTTCACCTCTGCAGCGATTCTAATCCCTGCAGGTATCAAGGGCTTCCGCAACTCACCGTACGGAGAACGCCGCATTGGTGCCATCTCTGCGATTAAGATGCGCGCACCTGTTTTGGGCGGCAACTTTGGGGTTTGGGGAGGCCTTTTCTCAACGTTTGATTGTTCAGTGAAGGGAATTAGGCAAAAGGAGGACCCCTGGCAAGCCACACCCACCCTTCAAAGAACATTGTCAGAATTATTGCTAATTTATAGAAGGAACGCGATAATTGCTGGATTCTTCACAGGAGGCAGCTTAGCCATCAGAGGCGGATACAAGGTTAGTCTCCCCCTCCGCGAGAAATGTTAACCGCCCATCGCCCGCACCCCCAGGCCACATCGCAAAGGCCCATCAGTTGTTGGAATTCTCCGTCACACTGGCCGGTACGCTCTCTAGCGATCTCTTCAGTAATGTCTCTGATGGGCTGCTGGTCTTCCCTGCGCATGTCGCAGCCTTTAGGCCCTAGGAGATGTGCAGCCAGCTTCTGGCAGATGTTATGCCGCTCGGGGATGCGGACGATGGGTGTCTTTTAAGATCTTCCGCACGAAATGAGTTATCTAACATAACGAAAACAGGCTGCCAGGAATGGTGCCATCGGTCAGTACAAGAAGAAACGCTGCTAAAATATTTCTTGCTGACATAAAGGTGCACAGGATGCGCAGTTCTCTTGGCTGTCATCGAGGGTGTCGGTATCGGATTCCAGAAGATGTTTGCGGGCTCGACCAAGTTGGAGGTGAGTTTCTGCGCAAGCCAACCTTCGTCATTGGACACAGAACATACTGACCTCATAAACCCAGATGCCCCAGCCTCCTCCGTCAGACGGCGCCATGGTCTAAAACTGCCTATGATGCCTCTGAATCTGTCAACGAACCGAAGCGGTGCTTCCACGCTGCCGACGAAACGACGACGCAACCGACCACTCTCTACTCTTGCAGTTCAGCCTCCTTTTCCGTGGGGGATGTTGAAATCTGTCTTTACCACGACCGACGACTTCTGTTTTTTAATCGACCAAAATCACGCTATGCGGCAGGGGGAGGCGTTCCATGTAGTATAGACAAACGGCTCCAGTCAACCGGGACTGGAGACTCTGGGGAGAATCTCTTTGTGGATTTCCTGAACCGGACGAAAATGGGGGGCGGCAACCTTGGAACAGATCGACACGGGCTATCTGACGTTTGGAAACGGCCTGGGTCATGATCCGAGATAGAAGGGATACGGCGGACTTCTCCCCTTTGACACGAGTATGGAATCTGTGTGAATAGGAATTGTACTGATATTCAACTCGCCATCTGTCTACTCTTTGCGTTCTACGTCTCGCACTGCTCATCTTAGGTCTGTCTATCCATACCACAGCACATCACCACTTTTCCGCGTACAACCGAGCATCCACACCCTCCTCGACTTCGTCATGGTAAATCTTCGCATGCGCCAGGCCTTCATCGTCGATCCACGCTCGATACATTCCATTGCAGTTGAAGTCCTGGAGAATCTCCGACCTCACGCCGACGACACCGCCCTCCTCGTCCCTCGTAACCGCAACCTCGATGCCAATAATCCCGCCCTCGCCCTCACCCGTGACCCGCCACCGGTCTCCAGCACTCCTCTGCAACTCCCCTCCAGCCCCAGCAACGAACGACACGGCCTCCTTGCCCGACAAAGGCTTGAACCTCGCCACAGCCCCAACCGTCCTCCCGGCCGCAACCCTCCAAAACGAGTCCCCATTCCCGGTCCCCGACGCCGCGATCGCTCTTGTAGTCTTCACCGCCTTCCCAAACACAGGCGTGTAGATGCTCAACGAAGGCAGACAATCCGCCATCAAACCCCTCAAGCTCTCCGACAACACAACCGCAGGACAGCCCTTCCCAAACGCCCCCGTCGGATCGCCCTCCTCAACCCATTCCTCCGCCCAAAACCCAGCGCCCACACTCGGCGTGTCCCCAATCCTGCCCGTCAGCTTATTCGTCAGCCCGCCCGTCGAGGTCGCCGCGCACACCACCCCCTCCTCGTCCAGCGCCACCGCGCCCACCGTCCCCTGAGGCAGAAACTCGCTGCTGCTCCACGTCGCATTCCCCTCCTCGCCGGTGCGCTCCCGCTCCAGCGCGCGGATATGCTCGTCCCACCGCCGCTGCGTGAAGAAGTACCCCGGGTCCACGAGCTCCAGCCCGTACTTCTCCGCAAGCACCTCCGCCGTCGGGCCGTGCAGGAGGGTGTGCCCCTGCGCAGACGGCGCGTCGATTCCAGGCGAAAGGGAGGAAGGGTGCGAGTCGCTCCCGCCGCCGAGGTCCGCCTCGCCGTGCTCGAGCATCGCCTTGGCGAGCAGGATCGGGTTCCTGACGTGCCGCAGGCCCGTGACGCCGACGCCGCGCTTGGCGAAGCCGCGGGTCACCATCACGCTGGCCTCGAGCTCGTTGATCCCGTCGCGCGTGAAGACGGCGCCGTGGCCGGAGTTGAAGAGCGGGTTGTTCTCGAGGAGGGTGACGGCGTGGACGGCTGTTTCCAGGGCGCTGGGCAGGACTGCGGTTGCGGTGGTGGGGGTTGTCATGTAGGCGTTTGTCTTGCTGATCTGTATTTTCCTGTGAGTTTCGATTCGACGGCGAGGGAGAGGGATGTGTGTACGATTGTCAAGAGGGCGGCGCGGTACTCGGCATACTGCGGCGGCGCGAGGTTGGCGGGCTTGATGTTGCCTGCGCCGCCGTGGATGATGAGGCGCGGCTTGACCTTGACGGCCGTCGGCGATTGGCGTTTGTATTCCATCTTCAAATCTGTGAGATGCGGTGAGATTCAGAAAACTTTCAATACATCAGGATGAGCTCTCTATGAGACTGGGAAAGGTTGTGTGAGAGATGCCAGCCTGAGACGACGTCGGGGGAGTTGACCGGGTGTAGTTGATAAGATAAGATAAGCCGGAAAGCCCAATCCGGGAAGCTCTCCGGTGGGAATCGGCACCGGCAGGCCGAAGTTCGGATCACGTCAATGGGGAGGTTGGAGGCGACATATTGGGGCAACGGTGCGAGTCAGGCATTTCGCAATACACATAACGCGTGTGTGTGCTTCTAGCAATGCTCTTTGATTTTTGGGTATCCTTTCTATGTTTTACAATCAAGAATCCTATGTTAAATCACCCCTCGAACGCCCTCTTTTTGATAGTATGTGCTACAAGCGCGCAAAGACAGAACCAATGATTTCCCTGCTCTTCAGCAGATTAATCACCCTCAGCCGCTCATTGTCCAAGTGACCGCCGTCGCTGGACTGGCCGCAGGGCAGATGAGCAGCCGGGGCGCCGAACTCCTTCTCGAGGAAGCGGATGGCGGGGATGGAGCCGCCCTCGCGAATGTACAGCGGCTTCTTTGGCCTCTGTGCCTTCTTCTTCTCTTGCGAGTTTTCTTCTCCGGCGTTGTCATCGCCGTTGTCGAAAACATCACCCCATGCCTTGACGATGGCTTCTTCGAGTGCCTGGAAGATCTCGTTGCTGGGGTCGCCGAGCCAGGGCTCGGCCTTGTTGTCGATCTTGATAGAGAGCGAGTTCTTGGACTCGAGCAGCCCGAATTCAGACTCCAAATAGGTGTTTAGGGAGGCGATGACATCATTGACTTCTTGACCAGGCACGAGACGCAAGCTGATGTTTGCGCTTGCGTGGCTACTGACTAGACTGCCGTCCGGGCCAGATACCTTGTATCTGTGGATAGTCAGGTTAGGTTCTCTCCAGCGGGCCATCAACGCCGTCTTGAGTTTGTCCTCGGGACCCTTTTCAGGGTTCTGGCGCATAAGAGTTGACGCGATCTCATCGTAGCGGGTTTCTTCTTCGGCAGTTACTGGCAAGATGCTTTCGTAAAAGCCGGGGATGAGAACCTTGTTTCCAGGACCCTTGAGTTTAGACAGTGTGGACGTAAGGTCGGAGAGGGGTTCGTTGTTCATGTATGAACCGTCAACACCGGAGTGGAGATCAGGTAGGTGAGAGTCGACGCAGACTGTGGCGTGAAGAACACCACGTAGGCCGTATGTGAGGCAGGGAACCTCGTCGTCGAGCCAATAGCTGTTGGCTAGTAGGATATAGTCAACGTCGCCGATGAGGTCCTTGTTCTTGCGGACGATCTCTCTGAAGCCACGAGAGGCGGATTCTTCTTCGCCCTCAATGAGGAAAATAATGTCGTTGGCGAGTTTCTTTGCTTGGAGAAGATCTGTGACGGCATACAGAGCGGCCATGATGGGTCCCTTGTTGTCACTGACACCTCTGCCGTGAAGATAGCCGTTGATGCCCTTCATCTGGAACGGGTCGGTTTCCCACTTGCCCTTCTTATTGTCTGCCGGTACGACATCGTAATGACCGTAGAACAAGATTCTCTTCCGCTTCTCAGCTGGCTCGAGCTTGCCGTTGAATTTGGCGAGGACGACTGGGTTGTGGGGACTGCTTTCCGTGCTCAGCATCTCGACCTGGCCACCAAGACGCTTGAACAGGGAGCCAAGGAAAGTCGCTCCTTTTCGGCAGTCTTCTGCGAATTCCGGTCGCGAGGAGACGGTGCGATACGAGACAAATTCTCCCAGAGATTTGACCATGACATCGTCTGCCTCATCCACGTCTTGCTGTTGCTCGTATGATGAACAGTCAATATTCCAGATGGCTACGTCGTTGTCATTGGCGCCCGTAATGTAGTATTGCCTGTTGTTGTATGTCGTTACTGCGGATGCGAGGACCTTGCCCTCGTGGGCTTTCCAGCGAGCTATGCACTGGTACTTCTGGCTGATGTTCGCGGTCTGGGTATCTTTGTATTTGCCGTAGTGGACGGTGGAGTGTTTCTGCAAAAGTTAGTTGCGAACTACGACAAGAAACATGCGAACGTACACTTGCGGATCCTGATCGTGAAGCACTGAAGAGATATCCCCAGTTCATTTGCAGGGTCATGATGTCGCCCTTGTGGCTCTTGATCACCCTCAACTTGGACTTCGTGTCGAGGTCCCACAACTCAATGATGCCCTGCAGCTTTCCTGCATAGAGAAACGAGCCGTCGATGGCCAAAGACATGACCGACTCCGCATCATCAGACCCAAGCGACATCAGCTCCTGGAGACCCGGCTCCCGGTCGCTCTCCTCAGCTTGCTTATCTCCCTCAGCGCCGAGCTTCCACAGCTTAATCGTCCCGTCGCCACCTCCAGAGATGAGAACCTCCTCGTCAGGCTCCACCAGGACCGTCGGGCCTTTTGCCATCAACATCGAGTATACGTAGCCGTAGTGCGCAAACATCTGCAGCGCTCCCGGGTGAATCTCGACGACCTTCTCCGACCTAGGAATTTGGGTCCACCGCTCGTCAGTGCGACGCGGCGTCGTTGATCCTCCTGCAGCTCTCGAGTCGAAAAACCTGTGATTCCTTCGGTCGGGGTGCTGTGACGAGTCGTGAGGCACCCTGTTGTTCGGGTCGGACAAGCTGACCCATTGTATGGAGGTGTTCTGCGCGCCGACGTAGACCGTCTCGTGCTGCGCGCTGTAGGCGACGGAGAAGATGTCGCCGACGTCGTAGGTGCTGTAGATCTCGTACAGGCGCTTCATCGTCTTCGGGCACCACACGTTGATCAGCGGATCGCCGGCGCTCGAAAACAGCATCGAGCCGTCGGGTGTCAGGTACAGGCTCAGGACGCTGCGCTTGTGCGCCTGCACGATGCGCTCCTGGTGGAAGGTGGCCAGCGACCACACGACGATCTCGCCATCCTGCGTGCCGGCGTATATCCGCTCCTGCTCGGCGCTGACGGCGAGACAGAGGACGGAGCTGTCGTGCTTGAGGTTGTGGAAAAGTTCGGGGGCGACCGTGCCGCAGTCGTCCGTGTCGCTCAGGTTCGTCGAGAGGTCGGAGGCCGCGATGGCGGAGGGCATCGTGTCTTCTGGGGCGCGGGAGGAAAGCGTGCGTCAGCAATGTGCGTGTCTCTTGAAGGCAAGTAACCAAAAGCAGACTTTGGACAAGAATGGAACGAGACGAATGTGCGTTTTTCGTCTTTTCTTTGCCAGTGTGGCAGCCCGTTGAGGAAATTGAGACAAGGAGGTGGAATTGGGCTGGCGTCGGCTGATGGTGTGACGCATATCTTTTGGGAGGGTCCCCTAAAATGCCACCGCTGCGGTATCGCAACGAAAATGGCGAATGACGAAATGCGCTAGAGGGGACCTGGGAAGCGCTGCGCTCTCGAGGTCTCGCCTATCCAGGCGCACCCCTAGCGTGGATCCCCCGGAGTGAGAGACTCCAGACTTCTGGGTTGGGTGGAGCGGTGCTGCAGTTCTTGGGCTCTAGCTCCCGCTGCTGCCGGGTCCACTGCTGTCTTTTCAGGGGATTCCCAGGAACCAGCGTGACACTGGTCGCCGAGATGCGAAAGGCGTCTCGTGACAGTCTACATCTCTCTCTCCAGACACTCGTCTTCTGTCGCAAACGGGGCTTCGTCGGTAGATTGGAGCATACGCGAACAGAACTCACCATCTTCATATTCCGAAGACTCTTCTGACTCGGGAGACAGCTCAACCAGCTCGTCCTGGATCTTGCGGCACCCCTCGCAGTCGTCCCCTGGAGTGTGTCCCCCTCCTGACTCAAATACCACAGCCATCTGCTTGTCTCTGTGTGACGGTTCCTTTCTGTCCTCTGCTTAATCGATAATGGGCCAGCTGGATCGATGTGTGGCTCCTCTGGCTATTCTCGTCCAACTCGGTGGGGAGCTCTCTATTTGTACGGCAGCTCTGGACGCTTTGTCTCTCTCACCGCTTCATGACGCAACATTGGAGGGGATGGTATCATACGCTCGGGGAGTCAGGTCAATCAAACGACAAGACTCGAATAGAAACAAAAGGCCAGCGTTCAGGTATGATTCTGTCTAGAAACGAGATTGGGAAGACGACGGCCGGGGAGCACTTAAGGGACATCCGGACGGCCGAGATCGGTTGCGTGATTTCATGGACAGCCCGTATTAAATATCTGGACGCCCGCATTGGATCTTTGGGCGCCAAGGGGCCGACCTGAAGCTGTCCCTCCTCTGGTCCTCCTCCATGGCCTAGCTTAGCCAGTGGAAGTCCTAGCCTCTGGCTCTGGGCCAAGTCACACACGCCGGCTGAGACAGATCCGGGACGCTCGCCGACAAGAGAAGAAATTCCGGCTGGGGGGGCCAAGGGCCTCAGAGACCCGCGTGTCTGGGCCGGCTCACCGCAAGATAAACAGTGGTCGGTCAGGATGCGGTGCGCCCCAATCCAGGGTGCGTATGGTGATCTTCCGAGCGATCCCCCCGGCGTCTGCCCTATTGGAGGAAAACACGCGTGCTCCCGGGGATGCAAACAGAATACTGGACAGGCTGTTCAACTTAGGGGATCCGAGCCGCGCAGGGGGTTGCCGTAGCTGAAGCGGCCTTCCGTTTTCTTGCCGATAGGATGGCTCCCTGTTAGTGTTGGTGTTACCGGCAAAATGTTGCCAGATATTGCTGGCAATATTGGCTCAGCTGACTTCAAGATGCAGCAAGCGATAGATGCCGGTCTCTAAAAATCAAGCCATGGTGGATCATCTGTTGGCTGCACGAGTGCGTTACCTTCGGCCACTTACGATGGCTCCCGCACCCACAGGAAACCATGGCCAATGGAAGAGCTTGTTGATGACTGCCAGCTAACTTAAGGCTGGCTGGCGTCAAACGGGGCTTCCTTCCGGATTCGACATGCTTTCAGTATTCAACCGGTATTCTACATCGAAATTCCGTCTGCAAGGCTGTTGGTATCGCTTCGCACATCGCTCAGAACTCTGCACCTTCAGGGGCAGCAAGCCAGAGAGACATCATGCAAGACATCTCGTCAAGCCACAGCAGGGTCATCTTGCCTCTGAGCAAGCCCTCCGCAACTGATCCCGCGGGAAAATCTGTATTCCTCGCCGGAACAACCAGCAAGAAGGATTGGCGCAAAGATATGATTGAATCTATTGCCCACCTCCCTATCACCATCTTCAACCCCTTCCGGCCCGACTGGGACAGCACGTGGAGGGAAGACATATCGGACACGAGGTTCAAAGAGCAGGTTGAGTGGGAACTGGAGATGCAGGAGCGCGCAAGCATCGTCATTGTCTACTTCGAGCCTGGGACAGAAGCCCACATCAGCTTACTCGAGTTGGGGTTGTGCGCGCGGTCTGGGAAGGCTATCGTCGCTTGTCCTGAGGGCTACAAGAAGAGGGGCAATGTCCAGGTGGTGTGCGCCAGGTTCGGTATTCCGTTACTGGAGAGCTATGAAGACCTGCGCGATGAGTTGATTCGGAGGCTAGGGAACTAAGATTGAGGAAACCCCCAGTAGAAGAGCAGCACCTAGTTAACGAATGTAACGCCCGTGAGCTAGCTCCAGACGTACTTGTAGGCAATTGACCCTGAATATCGAGGTGTGAGGTACTGTGTCGACACTGTCCTCCAAAACAGCGCCGGCCCGACATGGTCCCGGCTGCCACTGCCAGCCTATCCGTGCCGCACATGGGACCCCCCACTTACCCAATCCGACATGGTTCGCAATCCTCCAATCCAACCCAAGAGCTTCGAGTCAACATCGCCAATCTTGTGTGTTTGCTCCCATTCTTAATTTTTTCCCGCCTACTTTCTTTCGTTCAAAACAAAACAAAAGCATCGATACCCATACCAATTCTTTCATCATGGACGATCAGTTCGGCGGCCGCACCGACGATGACCTCTTCTTCGACGACTTCGAGCCCGTGGCAGACTCGCAACCCGTAGAGACAGTCGCCGCCCCTCCTCCCCCTCCCGCCGCCGTCGCGACACCGCCCGTCGAGCCACCCAAACCCGAGTCTGCTCCCCCGAAACCCGCCGCAGCCGAGAAGCCTCCTCCGCCCCCCGCCAAAGCGCCGACCGCGCCCCGAGGCCTGGCAAACTCGCGATTCAACACAAACAAGCCCGCACCCGCCCCGCGTCCCCCCCGCCAACAGGCCCCCGCGCCCGCTCCTGCCCCAGCTCCCGCCGCAGCAGCACCCACCACCACGACAACCACCACCCCGGCCGCCGCGCCTCCTCCCCAGGCCCCGACCGGCCCAGCTGCCCAGACCCAACAACAGCAGCAACAAGCAGCAGCGCCTCCCACCGCGCCCGCGAACAAATCCGCCTCGCCCGCGCCGCCCCGCGACAAGCCGCAACACGCGCCCGCCGGCCCGGGCGGCAACACCGCCCTCAACGCCGAGGCGCGCCTGCAGTCGGGCGCGAACCCGCGCACAAAGCTCACGGAGACGGAGCTGGCGGCCAAGATGGAGCAGATGCGCATCCTCAACGCGGAGAAGACGCGCAAGTTCGAGCAGGCGGAGCAGGACGAGCGCAAGCACGCGGAGGCCTACGCGCGGGGCATGGAGGAGGCGCGCAAGCGCAAGAAGATCGAGGAGGAGAAGCGCAAGCGCGGCGAGGAGGAGCGCAAGCGCATGGACGACGAGAGGGCCAAGAACCGCGAGCGGAAGCTCAAGGCGATGAGCATGAAGGAGGGCGGCTGGGACGAGGGCAAGGAGGCGCTTAATGCGGAGGAGGAGAGGAGGGGCTTCCGCGGGGCGAACGGGGGGATCAGAGGGGCTAGGTCTGCGGGCCTCTCTGGCAGCAGGTTTGCGAATGATGGCGATGAGGGTGAGAGGCAGGACAGGTACGGCGACCGCGATGACCGCAGGGGTGGTCGTGGTCGTGGCGGCGGTAGGGGTCGTGGACGTGGTGGACGAGGTGGTCGGGGTGGCTACGGCGATGACTTCGCCCCCAGAGACCACAGGGAACCTGCGTCGAACGGGACCCGTGACGCGAAGCCTTCTGCGCCGGAGGCGAAGGCGCCCGCTATCAACACCGAGGAGTTCCCCGCTCTTCCTGGTGGCAAGGGCAAGACGGGGGAGACCTCGCCGCCTGTGTTGTCACCTCTCGGCAGATGGGACGATGAGATGGAGGCTTTTGATGCGAAGATGAAGAGCGACGCTCAAGCCTAGGAGGCATTCAGACGCACCGGAGCCGACACATCTGAGTCGAACCCTCTTAGCGCCGGGGAATTCTACACCCTTGCCGAAGCGTACGGGTTCAATATCAAGAGGAAGGACGACACAGCTCACCAAGCCCGAGACACTTGAGATACCCACTGAGGATTCGTCTCGGATCATCTCCAGAGGCAATATGTATGAGCACATCGAGTTCTGCGCCTTGGAAAACGCACTGAGCGGATCACGAAAACAATGACAGCATATTGAACATTTCACGCAGCAGGAGTAGCAGCGGATGGGTAAAATTATGAGGGCGCTTTGTAGCATTTGCCCCCGTTGCAGGTGGGCGACTATGGGAGTCTGAAAATGTAGAAGCCCGTTATTAGCGTAAATACATAATTGCCCATGAATCCAAGCCCCCGGCCAAACCGAAGTCTCACATGTGCCTGGCTGGTAGACCTCATGTGTTCAAAAAGCTGTTCTGACTTGCGCCTTGCTCCGATGCCGTGTTCGAGGCCTAAAAGACTTAGTATGGACAACAATGAACTCCAGTGGTTCGTCACCCACGTTACTGTGCATTCTGATAAAAGCCATGTCGAAAACCATGTTGCGGCCTTTTTTAGTTGAGCTTCCTAGTCATTGGTTGACGATACCCGTAGAGAAGGCCTGCTGATATCCATTCTTGACTTGGAGCTTTGCTGGTAAGCCAACGGGGTGGTGCCGTCGGTCGTCAGGCGATTTGAGTTGACCGTTGCAAGGGGAGGTCAGCTTTGCGAAGATGGTAGCTGTTCGTCTCAGTCCCTCTCGCCATAATTTCAAATCCCCCGCCTGGCTTTCGTTCTCTGCATTGTCCTCCGCGTTACCATCTGTTTCGTCGTCTGTTTGTCCTCTGTTGGCTCTTTGTGATAGGTGAGGATGGTGCTGAAGG